AAACAGATCCTTGGTCAGGGCTGCATATAAGTAAAGCATTAGATATGTGTATGTATCTATGAACAACCTCGACAAGACTACAAAGGAGTAGTTGTGTTGAATTGGTGCTGGCAATGCTATGTATGGCGGATAAATGGGGTCAGGGAATCTGTTATATGAGACAATAGCAACTTGACTGCAAGTAATAGAGTAGCAAGCAAAGGATTCATATAAGATGTACATAGTGAAGAAATATCAAATTAGGATATCGGATTTTCCCTACTTCATCAACAGACTAACAGCCCAGGGAACACTGAGCCCTCGAAGGTCTCCATAATGTTGTCCAACACCCAGGAATACAATGGGAATTCCCGTGGCATGGACCATGCTGACCAGTGTTCCCACCATGTCACCGACGGTGTCACATTTACTGATAATAAAGCCGTCCAAGTTCCTGCCGGTGCCAAATGCCTGGTTGAAGTTGCGCGCCTGCATCACACTGTCTGTGCCGACCAGGGCCTCACCAACCATGAAAATCTTGTCTGGGTTAGCAAACTTGGCGAATTTCTCAAGCGAGGACATCAGTCGCTGGTCGTTATGCCGACGGCCGGCAGTGTCGATCAGGACGACATCAAATTTATTGGCCGCAGCGTAGTCAACTGCATCCTTGGCAACGTTGGCTGCGTCCTTGCCGTAGCCCTTTTGGTAGATCTCCACGTCGCCTGCATTCTCGCGGACGCTCAGTTCCTTCAAGCGGTCAGCGTGCACGCGGAGCTGCTCCACGGCACCGGAACGGAAAGTATCACATGCTGCAATAAGAACACGGTACTTGTTTTGAAGTAAGAAGTAGCAGATCTTGCTCAGGTTGGTCGACTTTCCAACGCCGTTGACACCAACGATAGACATGACGTATGGGCGAGGCGCCTGCTGCTTGGTAGTGGGAGCGACTACAGCGTTAATCTCGCGCAGCAAATCCAAAGAAGAAGTCGGCGTCAGAATCTTCCGCAGGGAGGATTCCATAGCCACGTGCAATGCAGCATCAGTACTCTGGAAGTTGCCAGTCTTCTTGCCAATCATTTCACGTTTGACGCCTTCGCAGAGCCGGACAGCAGCTTCGCGGGCGACGTTCTTCTTCAAAAGGTGTTCTTCCATAGCCTTGAGAGGCTTCTCGAGATCAGATTCTGTCAGAACCTTTCCTCCAACAATGTTACGGAAGAAGCCACCGATTGCGTTGAACCCGGATCCAACGACGCCTGACGAAGCAGTGCCCTTGGACTTTTCCGCATCAGCTTGGTCCAAGATGGATTGAACTTCCTCGCCCAACTCCTTCAGCACGAATTGGCCCTTGCCAGTTCGACGACCCCAATCATTCTCGGAGACAGCCTCCACCGCTGGTGCGGCAGCCTCACCTTCCTCCGCGGGGGCAGAATAATCGAGGATCTCTCCGTCATCCTCATCTGCCATCCCACTGGCATCCCATCTGCGCATCTTCTTCACAGGGGTCTTGGCAGACTTTCCCTTCCGGACTTCATCGCCGGAGGAGGCGTTGGCGCTCGAATTGGCAGCCTTGCGGGAGCGTCGGGAACCACGACCTCCAGGTCCGGCTTTCGCTGTAAGAAGATGACCCTGGGGGGTCGAAGATCTAGAAATTTCTGGTGTAGCTGGTGGCGTACCCTCGTCAGAGGTCGCCCCGGCTAGCGCAGCTCTAGGCTGCGCTTTGGGATGGTCAGCATGCGCTTGAAACTGAGAATTGCTATTCATACCTTTCACCAGGCCAGGCACCGGTGGCGGCGGTGGGCCGCCATTGTCCGACGAAACAAGTGGATCTTTCTTTTCACTTATCTCTTGCACATGCTCTTCTACAAAGCCACCAGTATTGTCTTCAAGCTCCCGGACTTGTTGTTCAAAGTATTGATCGAAGCGATAGGTCTGGATTCTCGCGCGGTTACCCTTCACCTGGTCCTTGTAGAGATCGATAAAGATTGTCGAAATGTTCTCAAGAAGTTTGTCGATCCAGCCAAGGTGTAGTAGCGATTGGTAGACGGCCTGCATAAACTCAGAGTTAGTCGAAGCAGCGAGGCGCATGCGCATGCGACAGACGCACCACGAAGATCAAATCAAATTCCTTGACTCGCTTCCATTTCAGTGTATATTTTTCCTTCTTGTATGCCGGCGAGACTCCATCAGCGGTCGCATTCTGCGGCACGACCTTTTCCTCGATAAAGACATCGTTGATCAGGCTGTTGATAACATGTGCGCCCACTGGAGCGTATGCCTTAGACCAGAGCACCACGCCCGAAGTCGTCAAAATTTCAAAAGTCTCCAACATTCTGAGTATCTCCGGCAATCGATCGTCGAATGTGAAAAGCTGGTAATCAATGTGGGAGGGATAAAAAGAGCCGGTGTGACTTGTTGGTGGCGGAACGGGGCGAAGTTGGAGCTCGGAAGCGGATTGGATCTTCAGCCACGTATAAACACTTTCCTCCGCTCTATCAACCTCGCTTCTTCCCCAAACCCCCCGTCACACGATCCGGAGGACACGTTCGCCACCGAAGTTTCACGCTCCTTATTCCTCTATCTTCGTTTTTCTATTTAGTGCATTATGTATCGGGGCTCTTTCGCTCCCCCGCCCGCGCAATCGCCGCCCCTTCACCACCCCGTCCCGCAACATGTCTCGACCGTCCCGATGATGCGCTCACCTCCACCACCAGCTCCCCAACAACCCCCAAGTGCTGGATATGGTGGCAACCCATACCAACCATCACCAGCCCATGGTGGTAGTGGAAGCTATGCTCCTGGTGCTCCTGCATTCGGTGGATTCATGAACGAACCCACGGCGCAGATGGGCTTCCAGGTTGGCAAAAGCGCAATGGCGGCTGGGCAGGAGTACATGGAGAACAACGTATGCTCCCTTGATATATCTTCATTTGCCGCTTATAGCTAATATAGAGATGATTTGCAGTTCAATCGCTATGTCTCCATACCAGCTCTCAAGCACTACTTTAATGTCTCCAACTCCTACGTCTTGAACAAGTTGATTCTTGTCCTCTTCCCCTGGCGACACAAACCCTGGTCCCGACAGCAAGCCCGGATGGCTCCAACCCCCGGAGCAAGTGGTCAAATCCTGCAGCAACAATACTCGTCCATGTTCCTGCCTCCTCGCGACGACCTGAACTCGCCGGATATGTATATTCCCGTCATGGCTCTGGTCACATATATTCTGCTGTCAGTGTTACTGGCTGGATTCCGGGGTGACTTCCATCCAGAGCTTCTGGGGTCGATTACCACCACGGCCATTGCTGTGATCGCCTTCGAGATTCTATGCTTGAAGCTGGCAACGTACATTTTGAACATCAATAATGACTCGCAGCTGCTGGATCTGGTGGCATACTCAGGCTACAAGTTTGTTGGAATCATTGTCACTATGGTGACGTCTGAGATCTTCAACCCCGGACAAGGGACTAGGGGCTGGGTCGGGTGGACGGTGTTTGCGTACACATTTTTGGCCAATGCGTTCTTCCTGGTGAGTGACGAGTTCCATTTCGCTTTTAATTGCGTTCCGCAGTTGCTAATATTTAAACTCTAGCTTCGCTCGCTGAAATACGTATTGCTTCCCGATTCGACTGATTCCGCGATGCATGCCGGTTCGATGCAGGCTGTGGCTCGGTCTCAGCGCAACCGACGCGGCCAGTTCTTGTTCGTATACTCCTACGCAGTTCAGTTCATTTTCATGTGGGTGCTCAGTCGTGAGGGACCGTCCTCTGCGGCATCTGCCGGCTCTGCATCGTCATAATTAAGTACGCAGAGGGACAAGGACGGATTTGCTATTTGGAAGAGATAGACTAGGTTGGTAGGAAGGCATAGCATGAAGGGACAGGTGGCTTGCTCTGGGTCTTTGGGCATTGCACGGCCGAGGTAACGATATAGCACGACTTATTGTAATCAAAACTATTTGCATTTGTACCAAGGTGTTTCGTAGATGTCCATACATCATAGGTGGATCAAGGTAAGCCAGGTTAAGCTCTAGACCTTGTGACACAAGGGTCCTACGAAGTAATCTAAGCTACAAATAGAAAGATGTTGTTTCAAAATATTTTGCATTTCAATGGCTATATAAGACAGCAAGCTGCCAGTCTGACAGAGGAGATCCTATATTCTTTTGAAGGTTAGCGACTAGTCACAACCAACATAACAAGCAATAATGTGCAAGGTGATAAGGTTCTCAGAGATCTTGGTAGTTAGGTAATTTCATAGCGAGAAGCTCAATTACTATCTAGGCGTGATAAAAGTTTCTAATCATCGGACCTGGGGGTGTTGTGATGGAGGATAGTGTATTAACGTACCCTTGGAGAGACAAAGAGCTGCAATGTTGTCGAGATGTTCTTGAGTTATCAAGTCAAATGTCCTAAAATCTTCAAACAGTCAGCGCGAGGTTTCTCAAAGGCATTGACAGCATAACATGAGAGTTATAATCCATATCAGAATATGTAAGAAAATTGAATATCATCCGACAGTGCTGTATAGAGTGCCCCGGCGAGGGCCTCACAGACACTGGGTCAATCGCAAATTACGGCATCATATGAGGAATGAGGGGGAAGGCCAGAAGACCCGGGGGGGAGAAAAAAAGACGGAATATGAACATACCTTAGTAAATGCTACATGTGAGCAATTGTCGAAAGGCAAGCAAATGTAGACTCATCATCAAAGTCTTTAAGCTTGTAAAGCTGAGGAGCTTGAAGGGATCAACAAAAGTTCTGCGCCAAAAAAAAACCAGATAAATGCACGGGTTCGGATAAAGGTTAATGCGGATGATGAGATAATCAGAGCCCTAGACCTGCAAGTGGCCGGTTAAGCGAGAATGTTGCGAGTGTGGGCACATCCGAATTTCGAGACAACTCTTGGACAATTGAACTCTTTCGACAACCCCTTCTCGACTCATACCCCCTGTCGACCGTGAGTGTGCAAATCTACAAATATTACAGAACCGCGACGCTGAATTTTTCGTCTCGCAGAATTTCGCCATGGCCGATATCGATGTCAAGGTCGCTTCGTGGAAGCTGGTTGAGGTTGGCCGCCTAGTGCTGATCCGCAGCGGACCTTTCGAGGGCAAGCTTGCTGCCATCGTTGAGATCGTGGACCACCGCCGTGTATGTGGAATCGCCCTATGAATCCGGAAATCGTTACGAATTTGGAGAATCGGATTTTCGGAGATCTTTGAGTCGGAATGTGTATTGACTTGCGATTTTTTTTTTGTTCAGGTCCTGGTCGACGGTCCCTCCACCGAGGAGCAGAAGATCGTGCCCCGTCACGTTCTCCCTCTCGCCCACGCCACCCTCACTCACTTCACCATCCCCCAGCTTCCCCGTGCTGCCGGTACCGGCCCCGTCAAGAAGCTTTGGGCTAAGAACGAGATCGATGGCAAGTGGGCCAAGAGCTCCTTCGCTCAGCGCACCGACCGCACCGAGCGCCGCAAGAACCTTTCCGACTTCGAGCGCTTCAAGGTTCTGCGCCTCCGCAAGCAGGTACGTGGACATATCGAAAGGGGGGAATCGCTCTGGCATTACTGCGCCTGGGCCCACCCGAACGGATAATCTGGGGAATTACGAACAGTTCAACTAACACATACTCCAGGCTCGCTACGAGGTCCAGAAGTCCCACGCCAAGGCTCGCGCTGCCAACAAGTCATAGATGATTACGAGGTTTCGGTGCATGGGTTTGAAGGAGGTGTCCTGGAAGGGTTTCCATTGCTGGTAATACTCTGGCAAAATCGCTGTATGCATATCAATGAACAGCAAAAATGATTCAAAATCCTTGATATCCCGGCAAAGGGGCCTTTTGTCTTTTGGTTTTCCTCCGGCTCTGGACTCATTTTTATATCCCCCAATCTACGGGAATATTGAATATCTGGCTCTACAAAAAGAATAGAACGAGCAGATGCGTAAATAATGACCTGGAAACTGTATTAACTGTATTATTGATATATTTATTACGATCTAGATGAGATCTATAAATTAATAGCCAATCTAGTTTAGAATTGGTGATGGTAGTTCCATATAGGGCAATGTGTGCAGAGGGTGGGCAGTCTGGGGGTGGGCGCCTCGCTAATGATTTTCGGGTTCGGTCTGGCGCACAGCTACGCACCTTCAACTTCAACAAAATCCATCCCCACTCACAACAGCTTGATATTTACCTCTCAGGTATGTATGAGTGTTTAATCGACTGAATTCTCGCCTTTTCAACATCAAATTTCGCCCTTTCCCGAGTGTTGTGCGATTCGTGGGGGGGTTGACCAATCCCTCCAATCTCTCCCACTATGCCCGCTCTCACACCATTCAACCAGCCCTGACACCAATATTGCCGAACGAAACAACCCAACTAATCAACTCTTTTTTTTTCGGATTCTTCTTAGGCCCCTTTACACCGCAAAAATGGCTGATCCCCGCGTTGAAGAAATCCACGATGACGAGGTCTCCAAGACCGTCGAGGAGAGCTCCTCTGAGTCTGGCTCCGAGGCTGGCGATGAGCCCAACATTCCCGCCGGTGCCTCCGTCGCTGTCCACTCCCGTGGTGAGAAGAAGGCTCGCAAGGCCATTGGCAAGCTCGGCCTGAAGCTCGTCCCTGGCATCACCCGTGTCACTCTCCGTCGCCCCAAGAACGTATGTGATCCCGATGCGACCGTAATGAGAATTTCTACCCCGCCAAGTACAATGTGATTGCGACCATCAACAGCAACACTGGCTACCAAGGGGCATAAAATATCTTGATCATGCTCGATATGGAGATACTAATTGTTGGAATTAAAGATCCTCTTCGTTGTCAACCAGCCCGAGGTTTACCGTTCCCCCAACAGCAACTGCTGGATGTATGTGGATCCCAATCGGAGTCACTCATGTGTGAAGGACATTTACTGACACACTTTCAGCATCTTCGGTGAGGCCAAGATTGAGGACCTGAACTCCCAGGCTCAGGCTTCCGCCGCCCAGCAGCTCGCTGCCTCCGAGGCCGCCGGCGACCACGCCGGTCACGACCACGAGGAGATTCTCGGCAAGGCCAAGGCCCCCGAGACCGAGGATAAGAAGGAGGATGAGGAGGATGATGGTGAGGAGGTTGACGAGTCCAACCTTGAGTCCAAGGATATCGAGCTGGTCATGGCACAAGCAAACGTTTCCCGCAAGAAGGCCGTCAAGGCTCTCCGGGAGAATGATAACGATATCGTTAACTCCATCATGGCTCTCAGCATATAATGAGTGACCGTATTTAAGGTTCTACGAGGGACTTGGGTTATAATGCCGGATGGAAGATATCTGGCATGTTGTCGCCCATAGTGTACACAATTTAGCCCAAAAAACAATTGAACCCATGATTGTGTCAACCAATCAATCTATATACTGTAATAATCAAAAATAAAGCCTGTCCATAAGTTATGTACAATAATTGACACGATCGCTCTATAAAGTATACATAATTTGTTTTGTACAATCCACGGTGGATTTCGGAATGGACATCACGTGACCCGAACAATCCAAACCTTCCGGGTCACTCCTCGTTCGGCACCTCCCTGCACATTGAACTCCCCTCTCTTCTCCCCACCCCCAACCTCTATCATACTCGTCACAATGGCTGCTGTATGTTCCGTTCCTGCTCCTCGACATGTCAAACCCTTGTCAATCCGTCCGGATGACTCCCGCTAACTCCCTTCACCCGAAAACAGCGCAGCGCCGCTCTCAAGATCGACTGGGCCAAGGTGTCGACCTCCCTCGGCCTCCGCGGCCAGACCGCCACCTCCCTCCAAGCTTTCAAGAAGCGCAGCGACGAGGCTCGCCGCAAGGTTCAGGTCCTGTCCGAGCAGCCCCAGACCGTTGACTTCAGCTACTACCGCGGCATCCTGAAGAACCAGGCCATCATCGACGAGCTCGAGAACCACTTCAAGACCTTCAAGCCCGTTACCTACGATGTCAGCCGCCAGCTGAAGGCCATTGACGCCTTCGAGGCCCAGGCTGTTCAGAACGCCGAGGCTACCAAGGGTAAGGTTGAGGCCGAGCTGCAGAACCTGCAGAAGACCCTGGAGAACATCGAGACCGCTCGTCCCTTCGAGGACCTCACTGTCGTACGTATTATCTGCTGCAGACCGCGAAATTGGAATCAATACTTACATGATTACTTTTTTAGGACGAGGTTGCCGCCGCCCAGCCCGAGATCGACGAGAAGACCGCCTCCCTCGTCTCCAAGGGCAAGTGGATGCCCCCTGGCTACAAGGTATGTGTTGATTATCTTGCTAAGAGCAATGCTTCTGTTTCGATACTTATACGATTCCCTTTTGTAGGAGCGCTTCGGCGATCTGTCCGCCGTCTAAGCGTGGACTCTTGTGGCCTTCAATCCGCCTTTTTATTCCTCGCTCCATCATACTACGTGATCATGACTTTTGGAGCCAAGAAGATGGCTATTCAGCCAGTGTGTGGTCAGATACCTCCGATAGTGTGGTGGGGCGGTTGGGATGTGTATAGAAACAATACATTAGTCGTTTCTGCGTTCATCAATTGGTTCCACTGTAATCTCGTACATTTTCAACTAGATCATTATTCGAATCATCCGGAAGTGGACTATAATAAAAACAAATTGAGGCTGGCAAACATCTGAGGTGTCCGATATATATCCAAGCAAACTCCCTGGAAACGTGGGGATCAAGTCCAGATATATAGCGAAGTTATCATGCAAAAATGGGTTATTTTTGAAACTCCGAGAAGAACTACCAAGTGGCAGTATATTCTCGTCTACTTAGATGTAGTAGTTAGGCGATCACGCCACATACATAATCGTGCCTGATGAGGAGCTCCTAAGCTGGCCTTGCCAAGACATGCAACTCACCTCATTTTACCCACTTCCCCTACCCCTCTCCTAGCAATGGGTCGAGCTTTTCCCTTACAATTATTTTCATTGGAGACTGCGCTGGAAGTGCTGCCAAGTGCCTTTCGTACAAGTCACGAGGAGCTACAGGGAGATCATTATGCGAAGTCTGCAGTCGGTGTCATATGGAGTGTGTTTCCATTGAGATAACCATATCCCTCTCTGCTTTTCCTCCTCCCTAGCTATTTACAATCATAAATACCCCTTGTGATATACCTGTGAACACCGCCCTGTCACGAGCAAGCTACACAAGCTATATAAGAACGCATCACCCTGAGACATACTGTCGCAAATGGGCCCAGAGCCCTCCGATCCGTTGGCCGACAACCCTTGCTCGCGCCTTGAGTTACTGCCCGTGGAAATCCTGCAGTTGATCTTTCTTCACAGCCTTGAAGTGAACCTCCCTCGTGCCTCACCACGTCTCAGCGAAGCACTGTCTACTCCATTGCTCTATACCTGGCTCATTCGGCTTGCATTCAGCAGTCCCAATTCAGGATCACGAGAGGGCTTCTTTACCCCGGATTTCCTGCCCCCACCTTTGGACTTCTGGGCCTTGTCCTGGAAAGAGCGCCAACAATTACAAACGGACTTGCTGGCATGTCGGTGGTGCACATTTCCTCTGCTCCGGAAATGCCAGCGTGAGTATGTTGCCCATGCCATTCAACGCAAATGTACAGGCCTGGTCTTCCACCCAGACGACCAAGAAGTGCTGTCAAATCTGGACCCACGCTTCGAGAACCTAGAAGCCTGCGACTGGGCCGTACTCGGCCGGCGTGGGAAAGGGGATCTAGTTATCCCCGCACAGCTGGGGGAAACCTTGCGGACCCCGTCGTCCCGCACCGTCGACCGAAAAGTGGCAATATGGTTCCACTTTGGCGCTGTCCAGATCCGTAAACCACATGAGATATACCACGAGAACGATCTCTTCCGGCTGCCGTGCTCAGTGGCTATTGGTCCTGGTCGTATTCCGGACAAGGTCTTGCGCTCGCCCTGGTCAGATGCGCAGTTTGAGTTCTTGCAGCTACTCTCTTCGGACTTCTATCTGGACGAGGATGAGGCTAGGCCGGACCGATCCTCTGATATCACATATCGTCTCATTCGAACACGCAAGATCGAGCCTTTCAGTCGCTTGTTGCGTATATCGTTCCGCGCTGCAAATTGTCGTGTTCCTGTGCGCTGGCCGCTGCAGCATTCACATTATTCCCTCGTCCGGCGCTGTGGGAGCGGTCCTGGGGATCCGTTTGCAAATGTGATCTTGAATGAGCGTTGGGATGATATGCCCACAGAAGCAAAGCAGGATTTGTTGCGATATATTGAGTCGCCCTCGCCGAAAGACGCGCATTGATATAATTGCTGCTTAGATAGAATTCACACTCAGCAATGTATATTCAATCACACATCTGCAACTTTATGTTCATGCTTGAAGCACTTATCATGTGTAGATACGCTCTCTACGATTTATGCCTGTCAACTATAGAAGAAAAGCAAGTTACGTCGATGGAAAGTATTTCATATCGTAGAACTCGATTCATGATTCACAATTAAAACTGCACCACAGGGTATATTCCAACAAGATAGAATGACAAAAGAAAATTCGCGCCGGCATAACAATCATAGAACCCATAGCCAGCCCTTCTTTCCCCATAGACTAATAGGTGTGTACAGACATGATAGGTTGTTTCCTATCAGACTGCTGATCGACGACCTCGCCGGCGTTTTCCACAGTAGCCGCAGGTCAAGCAGGAGATGATAACATCGATCACTGTGACCACACCGCTGATGATGGCATGGCAGATGGAACCGATTGCATTGACGATAGCCATAAGGCAGCTACCAATAGCGCGGAAGACGCTTTGGATCTAGAGGCGGGTATGTCAGTTGAGTCTTCTGGAAGAGCAGATGCGGGTTCACATACGCAAGAGACGACAGCACCCATATTGAAGATGAAGAGCTTTTCTCGGGGATGTTTTGTATGAAGGTTTTTTGTTTATCTCGGTTTGGATGTGAGAGTAGACTCTGAGCTGGAGGAAGCGTGTGTATGGACAGTTGGATCACTGAAAGGGTGCATGTTGAAAGAAGGTACTGAAGTAGATGGAGAGGTGGTTTAAATAAAGAATGGTAATGATGATTGTCTCAGGCAGGGACAGATATTTCTTGGTTAGATACGTAAGTGGTATCCGAAAAAGGTGATTGATAGACAAGTTCGTGCAGTGAAGCTTGTCTTGCGAGGCGTCAGAAATTACAAGGTGCAGACGCCAGTGACGTCGTTGGAGAAGCTATGACAGAATTTCAAGATTTGATGAAGAATGAGAGAGGAAGATCGAACCTAGAAGCAGTAGATTTTGTAATGGAGCCCAAGGTACCAGGGGTGTTGTCTAACAGCTCATTCCGTCATCTCGACACACCGGGCCATTCATTCCTTGATTTCAGGTTTGTTCAAAAGCACAGAATCTGTTTACACCGTAGGTTTGGTGGAGCAATTGACGGATTCTAAAGGGGTAGTCTAGTGTTTAAGATAGGCCCAGTTTTAATTTCATATTTAGCCATATTGAACCCTTTTCAAATGATCTTAATGCTATTCTTCTTGTTCTACAATGACATTTCTACTCATGGTCCTTGACGTCATTTGATAACAGGCTAAACCCAATTTTGCATTAGAGCGGGGGTGAATCATCATGTGACTTTCATGCCCTCCAATGCCAAGCCCTAACGCCAAGCCATTGCCTGTCCGGCTCTTTTTCCGCCAATCAGACAAAGGGTAGGCTCGAACTTGGCCTGCAACGTTGTATACTATCTGAGGTTGATATGCAAAGTACATACCACAACACTGGATACTCATTATACCAGATTCATGCTCACATGACAAGAAACTACAGGTCGTGAAAGGGTTCAATTGCTCCAATTGCTCCATGAGCCCCCCAAAAGGCGAAGATGAAATCGTGACCCGGCCAAAGCTTGCGCCGCCTGAGCCCGCAAGCAGCGCGCATCCTTCCGCGATCCCCAAGTCGAAGCGCCGACCAGGCCGCACCTTTAAGAAACCGATTCGGAGTGGCTCATCTCGATCCTCTCGGTCCTCTCGGTCGAGGTCGAGTCCCTATGACCGTCCTTCTGATTCGCCCAAACCTAGAACCTCGCGCCCGCAAACCCCCCGCAGGATGTTGTCCCTCCTCGAGGCCCTTCCAGTCGAGATCATCGAGCAGATATTCCTGCAATCGCTCAATCTAAACTTCCCCCGAGCTTCGCCGTTCCTATCCCGCGCCCTCTCCGGTGAACACATCTACCGCGTTCTCATACTCCTTGCGTTCTGGAATGATGCGCTCGAAAGCCCCCGTAGCAAGGCCGTCGACCGCATGATGGTCCCACTCGACTACGTTCCTCTCAAACTGGACGAGCGTGCCCGCTTACAGGAAGATGTCTTCAAGTGCAGATGGTGTACCGTGGACCGCGTGCGCGAACAGATCCCGACAATGCAGATCCTGACCATCTACCGTCGCTGGATCGACGCCGGGATCGTCATGGAGAAAGATGAACAGGCTGCTTTTGAAAAGTTCCTAGCTCGTAAGGATGATAGCGTCCGCATCTTCCATGGCAAGGGCGGGCCAATGAAGGAACTTGCTAGCATGCCCCCGGAGTTCTTCCGGATGGCCCCGAACGCGATGAAAGGCATTAATGAATACAAGCTCCATGTCCTGCCAATGGTCACCACCGAGTTCCAATGTGTGGATGTGGGGTTGACCGTCAACCTCCCTGCACTGGACCTGTGCAAATTCCCATCCCATCTCCTCCGCGGCCGCAGTAACGGCTTCCTTCCAGAAGACGTCGCTTTCCTAGAGATGCTGCGCATGACCTCGTGCAATTGGACCCCCCCAAAGAGCTCCTTGTCGCCCTCAACCCTGACTAAAGTTGACCGAAAAGCCTTAAATGAAGGAATCCAGAACGCAATTCGTCACCAGGACTTCAACGCCATGCTCTCCCTCCTCAAAATCGACGAGTTCCTCTTCCGCTATAAAGCAGAGAACCAAGGCCGTGGCGTCTACTATACGATTCCATCCGAACACTTCCTCGCTGTTACCCGTACCGGCCGCGACAAGCCACATCTTAACTTGGCTTTCTTTGAGGCTCTCCTACGTGCTAGTGCGGAGTCTTTGCCTAGCTGGTCGTCTGAGATCACGAAGTGGACTGTCGACAATATGGAACTCGCGAAGAAGAACCCGAATACTTATAACCAGATTAATGGTAAGTTTGCGCGCTGGTTGTCGAATTTCCTGCTGCGTCTCCCTGCCCAGGTTGAGTACGCCCATGGTTTCCCGACTGGTCAGCTATTCTGTAATGGTCAGTTGGATGTCATGGATCTCGAGGGCTGCCGCTTTGTCGACGAGGTTCTTGATCCCTCCCGTGAACCATTGGGGAATTGGATGATGGAGAGTTCGTTCCGGACCGAGGATCATTGGCTGAGAAAGTTCGGTCCTCCTCTTCCTCCATGAGATTGTTCCAAGTCGTCTCATGAGGATTTTGTTGTTAGCGCTATACCCGCATTTTAGATTTACTGTCATGTAACATAGTCCCCCTTATAGGTTTGAAAGAATAATTTACTTTGAATTAAATGTTCCCACAGCCTGAGGTATCACCTATAGCAATATGGACTATGTATAGTACAAATATCGATATGTAACAAGAATTTTGGAATGATTTTCGGAACAGCAAACCCATCACATATTCCTCAATAACCGCAGGATACCAGCAATACGCCCACCCAGCGTCAACTGATACCCCATCTCAACAATACCCTTACACATCTCCCAAGCCGCAACCCCACCCTTAGCGTCCGCCGCGTTCTCCCGGTTCTGGATAGGATAGTCCACGCGCGGTGGGATACCAGTACCAATCAAAGTAGGGAACCTATCAGCACAAACAGCCTTGATATTGGACAGACCGCGCAGTCCCTCCTCGCCCGCAAACCGGCCATATCCAGATCCGCGAACACCGCCGAACGGCAGTTGCACAGCGTAAAAGGCACCGAAGTCGTTGATCGCTACCATTCCGGCGGAGATTCTCGATACGCAGGCTTGAACGTCCGCTTGCCGGTGCCCGAAGACGCTGGCGCCTAGTGCGTACGGCGTTGAGTTTGAGATGGCGATTGCGTCAGATACGGACTCGGCGCGCATCATGAGGAAAACTGGGGCGAAGAGCTCGGTCTGCGCGATCCGCATGTCGCGTGTCACGTCTACTAGCAGGGTTGGTGTGAAGTAGTGGCCGTGTTGGTGGACGGGGTGTTTGTGTTCGGTGCCGCCGGCGAGGAGACGCGCGCCTTGTTGCACAGCTTCGTTGATGAGTGCCTCGAGGTTGGCGAAGGAGACAGGTGAGATCATTGCACCAACGTCTGGGGTTGCGGTGTCGAGGAGGACAGAGCCGAGGTGGAGATTTTGAATGCGTGGGGTTACAATTTCGATGAGTCGTTCGTATGCGCTGGGGAGGGCGATGATACGCTCGATGCCGATGCAATTCTGGCCGGATGATTGGAAGACACCGCGCATAAGGATAGACGCAATGGAGGGGATGTTGCGAAGAGTGCGAGAGTCATCTAGAATCACGGCGGGGTCTTTGCCGCCCAGCTCGACACACACAGGGATGAGTGACTTGGCTGCTGATTTGCAGACATGGTGGGCAACGGGCCGGGATCCAATGAAGGTTATGTGCGCGATATCAGGGTGCGAGGTGAATGCATCGGCAACATTAGGTAGACAGACTAGCGTCTGGACCAGATCGCGCGAGTGCCCACAGCTAGAGAGCGCGCCGCGCACCATATCGAGGAAGTAGATTGCAGACCATGCGGTCTGCTCAGACGGCTTGACAACAACTGCGTTACCGGTAAACAGCGCGCTGATGATCGGACCAATGAAGTTGTGTAACGGGTAGTTCCAGGACACACATGCACCCACTACGCCTAGCGGTTCATATGTGACCGTGTTCTTCTTGTACATCATCAGGAAGTTGGTCGGCCGCTGCTCTGGTAGCAGTGCCTTCTCGCCATGGTCGATTGTCCACTTGAGCTTCTCCACTGTCACAAGAATCTCGCCGAATGAGCCGTCAACTTTTGTTTTACCCGAATCGAGACAACACGCGGTAACGAGGTCTTCTTGGTGGTCTAGGACATATCTGCGAGATGTTAATTAGACAAGCCTTATGGGGGTGCCAGAGGCAAAGCAAGTTCGATGGTCTCATAGGGTGGAGCAAATATGCTAATTCACATACTTCAACAGTGTCCGGAGAACCTTTCTGCGCTCTGCAAAGGTGGTCTTTGCCCACTCCGGCTGAGCAGCTCTCGCAACCCGAACGACCTCGTTGACATCTTCGACCGTGGCGGGCTTGATTCCGTTGCCGAGCACCCTTCCATCGGCAGGACAGTAGCTCATAATCAATTGATGGTTCCATTTCTGCGTAGTAGACTAGCAGTTAGCTCAAGGACAAGAAAACGAAACCTCAATGAAAGGATCTCGAGCCAAAGATCAGGCTTGTTAACTCACCCCACGAGCTTGATCCTGCAATACCATTTTCTGCAGCCCCTGAGCCTCGTCCCATGTCTTGATCGATCCACTCTTGCGCACTTCGGGTGGGATAGGGACATTGAAAACGACCGCCGCCTGTCTCCAGCTCTGGAGGTAGAGGTACCCCACGTATACCGCGACAAGGGAGATCAACGCGACTCCGATGTGCGAGGCGTACTCTGCCGACCCGGGAGGCGCGTAGGCCTCCAAAAGAGTGCGCAGCGAGGGCGGAATGTGGGATGCCAGACAGTCCATGGCGGGAATTGTGCAATTGGACAACTGGAAAGTGTTGGGAGAGTAAAGGGAGTTCCTGGAGACTTTGTATTTGCGATAAGGTGATAAGTGTCCACTCGTGGACGGCACCGGGGCTAGTCCAGGGCTAGTCGTGCCATACAACTTAGACTGGTGATCATCTAGGAATATCACAAGATGGAATTTAGGAAATTGATCTTTGTGTTTAGTCATAATAATACATTTGTATTGAGAGCAAGAGCAACACAGTAAATAAATATAATAGAGTGTAAATATTGGGCTTCAGACATTCATCGTTAATAAATCGATGCGATTAATCCTCATTTCGTGAAGATTCCACCTTCATTTCATATAATTTCGTCGTCATAAATGCGTTCAATCGCTACTCGTTTCGTCGGAAATCGAACTCTCGCTTTCCTCGGTCTCCTCAGAGTCCTCGTTCATTCTCTTACGCTTACCAGCCGCGCTCTTAGCAGCAGCTTTCTTCTTAGAAACCACAGTGGGACCGCTGCCCTTGCGCTTCCCGTCGCGAATTAGAAGGTGATCAATAACACAGCCGTCCTCCCACCCAGCACTAGACTCGCCGGTAGCAGCTCGGCAACGGGGACAGGTCTTTCCATGCCGGATGAACAGCTGGTGGAGTGAGTACTTCAAGTAGTCGGGGATGCGCACTTCCAGGTGGCTGAAGGCAGTTACTTCGTTTGCACGGGCAGGAATCCATCCGAGCCAGCGGCAGAGCCGGAATATATGCGTGTCGACGGCGAAACAGGGCCGCTGGAGGCAAAACAGGATCACGCAAGCGGCTGTCTTGGGTCCGATTCCGGGGTACTTGATCAAATTGGTCATGGCTTCTTCAGTGCTGAGATTATGGAGGTGGTTGAGGGAGAGGAAGTTCTGATCTGCACAGGCAATCTCGTATTGCTTGTCTTTTTCAGCCTTTTCAGGAACCAGCTTGGACATTGAGTCATTCTTGGACTCAGAATCTAGCAGTGTAGCTCGGCGTGCCTGGTTGTCCTCGTGGACTATGTCAAGAATCGCCTTGAGGTTTTTGCTTTTGATGTCGGCCAAGCCGCCACTTTTGATCGCTTCAAACACGTCTTTCACGGTGGCCTGTCGTACAGCTTCCCAATTCACGCTTCCCTTGCCGATGCCTTCTGAAAGAATGCCGAATCGTTGCACAAGCCCGCCAAAGGCTTTGGCGGCATTGTTGCCTGTAGTGGCACCGCTGAGAAGAGTGCGGATTAAAGCATCCAGAACGGATGGGACCTCACCACACCCGGTGACTGTCAGGGAAGGCTCAGGAATGGTTGCCGGAGCAGTGACTACGCCATGAATGCTGGACAACAGCCGATTGACGTCTTCACACTCTTCGGCGGTCGGTCGAACCAGTTCGGGGAAAGGAGAGACACCAGGTGTCAAACCATAAGTATTCTTCTTTGGCTTGCGGCCAGTTGGGGTAGTTTGAATCTTGGGTTCTTTCTTCAACTTGGTTGTAGCTTTGTTCACAGTGTCTTGAAGCTCAGTAGCCAGATTGATAACCTGATTCCCCTTCACAGTTTGGTTTTCCTTGTCAGATCCAGCAATTGAGGATTTGGGCTCTGTTGCTATAGACAATGGGGCCGGGACAGATCCTAGGTTGTGGGGGAGTTCATTGAACAAGGCTTGGGGTAAATCTGATCTCTCTTGCTTAAGTGTGGGGTTGATTGTTTTAATTTTGGGTGTATTCAGAGCATTGGTGGTATTGGAATTGCTAGTGGGATCGAGACGTTTCCGTTTGTTCGCTTTATTGATGTTTGGTGCTTGAGTGACAGAAGGGCTGTTTTCTTCTCCCGCAATTAATGCAGCGGCAGCCTGTGTTGCAGAGCGAGTGATGCGGCGTTCCATGATAGAGGAAGTCAGGTCCAGACGGCTTCCAGCAAACGTCGATTTCGTTTGCACAGGCAACCAGGTATGCAAGAACTGATAATCGATATAAGATGTATCAAGGTATATCAATTGGTTTTAACAATCAACGAGGGATCTGCGTTTAAAGGTCAAACCTGTTCAATGCAGATGATCGCATTATGGGTCTGTCAATGATGCGGAGGGAATGAGATGATGCTACTGGCCAATGATATTGACACGTGACCTGCTTCTTTCGGACAATGGTCAAAATGAAAACCAGCATGACTTCAACAACATGGGAATATTGCATTTATTTTATTTTCATCAAGAGTTATTGACAAGTGTATCTCAAGACACCGGGTATTGGTATTTTCAATGCATTTCCACATCATTTCCACATCATGTAGCGGCGAATCAGCCACTCAGCATATACAACATATGCTCCCTCAAACAAACGCCCAGACACCCAATGCAAATTACCAAAATGGTGGAGAAAAAAAAAAAAAAAAAAAAATAAAAATCAGATGTCTCGTAATCATGCCTCATGGTCAGCCTGGTTGTGGATGCTAATGTCCATGCGGTCCGAGACCTTCGGGTTATGTTGGTCTTCCTGGCTCGTGGCCTGCTTGGCAGCACCAATCGCCGACTCGTTATCAATGGCAGGGATGATCTTGCCGTTGGTATCCATAGTGACTCCGTGGGCGGCGATCTGGAAGTCGGTCATGTTGGCAAAGCCATTGGTGACAGCCTCCTTTGCCTTATCAATAGCCTTGACCTTGCGGCCTTCGCCACGGACGGACTCGAGATGTTCGAAGTAACCAGATGAAACGGGGGTAACGTAGCTACCGCAGAAAACACCGACCTCAAAGTTTGTAGGCTCTTCCTGGCCATTCTCACGCGCAACCTCAGCACAGGCGTCCTTGAGATCAGACAGAGTTTGGAAGACAACCGCCTCCGCGCCAATGTGCTTGGCGATGGCCTCAGAGTTCCGATTGTGTGCAACCAGCTCTTGAGGGGAGGCAAGATCGATACCGTAGATGTGAGCATGTGTGATCTCCGGTGCACAGCTGGCAAGGTAGACCTTCTTGGCACCAGCTTCCCGGGCCATGTTGACAATTTCACGACTAGTGGTACCACGCACAATACTGTCATCAACCAGCAGGACATTGCGGTCCTTGAACTCAGCCTTCATGGCATTAAGCTTGCGGCGGACGCCCCTTTGCCGTGTCTTTTGCTCCGGCATGATGAAAGTGCGGAAGACGTAACGATTCTTGACGAAACCGTGACAGTAAGGCTTGTTAAGGTATAGTGCGACATTGGACGCAGACGTAGTAGCCGTTTCAGGAATGGGAATAACCACGTCAATGTCTTTGACAACCTCGGGACCCAGGACTTCAAGGATCCGTGCACCGAGACGGTCACCCATGCGCTGCCGGCTACGGTACACACTGATGCCATCCATGATGGAATCAGGGCGAGCGAAGTAAACATATTCGAAAATATCCGGGGCATAGGCCTTCTTGGGAGCCACTTGGCGGAAGACCGGCTCACCACCCTTGGCGATAATAACCGCCTCACCAGGTTGAATGTCACGGTGGTTGGTGAAACCCAGCTGGTCCAGAGCTACTGATTCAGAAGACATCATGTAGTCCATGCCAGGTCCATCCGCGGACTGACGAGAGCCCAGAATGAGAGGACGGATACCGTATGAGTCACGGAAACCCAAGATACCAAAGCCTAGATAGCGAGTTAGTACTATGGACTAGAGGTTACTACGGATGATTGATAACTTACCAGCAAGCATAGCAGTGCAGGCCCATCCACCTTCGCAACGCTTGTACATGCGAGTCAAACTGGCGAAGAGGTCCTCGTGGTTGACACGGGCCTTCTTGGTCTCGCTAAGCTCATCGGCGAAGACATTGAGCATCAGCTCGCTGTCACTATCGGTGTTGATATGACGGTGGGCTTCAAGGTCAAGGTGCTTCTTGAGGTCCCCGGCATTGATCAGGTTACCGTTGTGGGCAAAGCAGATACCGTAGGGGCTGTTCACGTAGAACGGCTGGGCCTCAGCGTTGGCACTGGATCCTGCGGTCGGATAGCGCAGATGGCCAATACCCATGGAGCCAGGGAGGTTGGTCACCTTAGCACCTTCCTGGAAGACCTTGGCAGCCATGCCGTTGGCCTTAAGTTGGTAGATCCGACCGCCGGAGGCGCATGTTGCAATACCGGCAGCATCCTGACCACGATCTATGATACCAAAACCTTTAGTCTCGCGGTCGCAGGTGTATATATTCTGGCCGGAACTCACGTTGGAGAAGGTAAAGTGCCTCGTGGAGATCCACAGCGGCCGCAGATGAGGGGTTCGCCTGGATCAGCGCAATGATACCACACATCCTGACGGAGGGTAGGTTTTCTGGCAAGGACGAAGAGAATTAGTACCAGTGTTCATCCATTGCATTCACAGGGTATAGCAAGATTGCAGTGTCTCAAATCAGTTCAGGTGTTTTCTCCGCAACAATTGTTTAGGAAGTCTAACATCTATAAAAAACCATAATTCATCATAAGAGAGGGGGAGAGCTTTGAATAAAGCTGAAAGCAGAAAACAATAAAACCACGCGACTTACCAAAACCGGATCACGTAAAAGAAGGAGTGAAGTTTAGAGAATGGTCATCACTAGAAATGAACACCACCCCAAGAAGAGAGAGAGAGGGAGGGAAATATTCCATGGCAGTGGTGTTTCTTCCGTCGTTGTGCTGCCCCACAGAATTAAATTTTCTCTTCTCTTGCCCGGGCCGACCTGGGCCGACCTCGGGGCGATGTAATGAGTAAGCAGTGCCCCACATCCAACCGGGGCCCATGCCCTACCTACTATCCCAAACAGGACAAGCGTCTATAGAGTTGAGATGTTGGTATACATTCATGGATACAACCATGAATAGGTGTACAAACCAGCTCGGAAGGGTAACCTTCAATGCGACACCATAGATACCATGGCTTTATTCCAGTCTTTCATGCTGCACAAACCTAGATGTCATCTCTGCTTTGTTGATCAAATAGAAATACATAGACGAATCCGTATGAGTTGCTTCAGTTGAGTTGTTATGTATAGAAGATCTGGCAAAGCCTTCTACCACTTCTCTTTAAATCACATTGTTATCTAAGCCAAATTGTTTCCATTGGCGCAAGGCTAGTTTCGAACACCCGGCTATAGCAATAGAAGTGTTTCTGAAGGTCATCTGAACCTGAGACCCTATCTGATCCCAAGATAATCTATCGGTTTGATCTTGAAATTTGTTTTCTTCACCTTGATTTCAAACCTGGACTTTACATCCTCGCACAAACCGAGTATGGAGCATTTTCATCGGTCAACCATCACACCAATGGCTGATATCAATGATCGATCCCGTATTTCGGTGTCTCCCTTTGGAGACCCAGTCCCCATCAGCACGGCAGAGTTTCGAGCAGTAACTCATGAGCTAACAATGTCTGACGACGACATAATCATGTTGGATCCGTCAGCGATCTTTACTGCTTCCCCCATGCAGGAGGCCAGTCACACCTTCTTTCGCCCCGCCGAGAACTTGCAGAGTGTGATTGACCTGACTTGTGACGATGAAGGCAATCAAGCCATGGAAGAATTGACCTCTGATATGGCCCAAGTTGCGGCTCCCTCAGCCATCGCCCCCGGCGACGACTCAGCGAGTGACCGGTCTTCCTCCGGCCATTCTTCTTTCGTCAGCAACCAGTCCATCAGCTGCAGCCCAACACCGGAGATAGTGCAGCAAGGAATAAGAATCGGGGGTATTGTGTTCAAAGCCGGAATATCTTTGGAGCTTGATGATGGCTCTTTCATGCGTGTCGACGACATGATTCCTCAGCCTCATGACCTACGGTTTTTCGGCCGGCGCCTTTACCGGACGACTCACCCCGAAGCGAAGACGTACTTGCCAAAACTCAACGATGAGTTGGTCTGGCTCACCCAAAACACAGATCATGTCAGCGTTAAGAAAGTCAGGCGAGTTGTGCCCATTCGATTCACCAACTATCGCACGGACTTCAACCACCTCGCACCGGGAGAAGTCCTGACTTGCCGACTAAAGCTCACCATTCGCCAGAACGGAGTCGTCATAATTCCCGGTAATGCACCTTTGAGTGCAGAGCAGTGTGCAATTGAATGGCTGACGTTCGCCGAATCAGACTCAGGACTTGGCAAGCCCGCGAATCAGCTGCGTGCTGAATGGAGAGGCCAGACTGTGCCTTTCGGCGAGGCTGGGGCGTCTTCTATGGCAAGGGATCTTGAAAGACAGGGTGTGATTGATCTGACTGCTCCTGACCGTGCATACACCTTTGGTGATGCGTACTGTGGTGCTGGTGGTGTGTCTTGCGGGGCCAGGCAGGCCGGCGTGAAGCTCCAATGGGCCGTTGATATCGACAAACATGCCCTGGAAACCTATCAAATGAATTTCGACGATGTAGAGGTCGAGCATTCCGACTTTTTCAGTTTTCTTACCAACGATCCGAAGTTCCTCAGAGTCGATATTGCACACTGCTCACCCCCTTGCCAAACCTGGTCACCAGCTCATACTGTACCCTGTCCTCGCGATGACGCCAACTCCGCGTGCGTATTTTCGGCTGGGAGTCTGATTCGAGAGTCACGCCCCCGGGTGTTGACTATGGAGGAAACTATGGGGTTGCCACAGCGATTTCCTGTTATATTCAACCGAGTTGTACTGGACATGGTTGAATTTGGATATTCTGTTCGCTGGTCGGTGCTGGGGTGTGATGAATATGGTGTGCCTCAGGAGCGGAAGAGGCTACTTCTCATTGCTGCGGGGTAAGTGAAGTCAAAGACGAAGCTTTTCATATTTCCATTCTATGTATCTAACCACGTGCTCATAGACCCGGTGAAGTTCTGCCACATTATGCTCAACCCACTCATGGCATGCCTGGCCATGGTCTGCTTCCTCGAGAAACCATTTCATCCACCATCGACAACATTCCCCCTGATGCCGACGATCACAACGTTGAAGGGGCATTGGCACGGTGGGCTCTGAGCCACCGACCATCGTTTAATCGCTACTCTCTAGCCAGGACCATTACTTGCGGGGGCGGGGAATACAACTACCACCCTTCGGGCACCCGGCCCTACACCAGTCGTGAGATGGCCCTCTTGCAGACATTCCCTCTGAACTTCCAATTTACTGGGAGGTTCATGCGCAAGCAGATTGGGAATGCTGTGCCCCCGCTGTTTGCCAAGGCTATCTATGGAGAGATCGTCAAGTCTCTGCGTGAGACTGATAGAGAGGAGGCCATGGGGATCTTCCACTGACTTGTCAGTGAGAGTGATGGCGGAGAAGATGATGAGAGAAAGGGGAAGAATAGGCAGAAATGGGGGGGTTGGGGATTGGGGATGGGGGGTGGGGTCGTCTGGGTGCTGATCTGCCTCACGTGCAGATCAGCCGAGGGCGAAGGGGCTGTAAGCTCGGTGTGAGCTCCATCAAAGTACTCCGTACAAAGGTTTTTACTCTTTACTTGTCCTTTCTTGCACATTCGGACCGAATTATATTCCGATTTCGCTACATCTTGTAGTTATTGCCTCTTGCAGCTTTGTTTACATCCGATACTCGGATTCCCATGATCTAGGGAGCTCAACAGACGGTAATAGAGCAATACAGTCGACCCCTTGAGAAAGTATTAGTGCAATTATTGGTTTTCGACCTGTAGAAGAGATAATTCATTCCATAAACAAGGACATCCACTGGGGGAGTGAAGTAATACCCGACTGTAACCGACCCTCGGCAGGATGAAGTCAGCTTGGAACTCTTCCCCGGTCATTTTCTCCCTTTCTGCCCCAACATTTCTCCTTTCGTCCATTTGTTTTTAAATAAACTACCGTCTTCCCCTCCTCCTTCTCTCCAATTGTGTCAATTGTTGGATCCTCAATTTCGATCCTATTCCCAATTCTTCTTTCACAATGTCCCTGCCCGCAGTGAGACGCCTGACCCACACGTCTCCCCGCACTTTGGCCCGCATCTCCAGGTTTCCCACTTTGGCTTCTTCCCTCTCCATTACTTCCCGTATTTCTGTTCCTCACACTCCCCGTTTCTCTACAATGGCCGCTCGTCAATCTACCGCCCCGGCGGTTCATACCGACAAGTCCTATGACCCTGAAATTCAGGATATGGCTAGTTACATCCACGACTATAAAGTGGATTCCGACTTGGCAGTGAGTTAGCTCCGGCGAGGTGAGATGGAGCACCGGCTCATTCTAACATTTGTTGTTTGCAGTTTGACACTGCCCGTCTGGTGTTCCTAGACACCCTTGGCTGTGGATTGGAGGCTCTGAAGTTTAAGGAGTGCGCGAAGCTTCTCGGCCCCGTTGTGGAAGGTACTGTCGTCCCCAATGGTACCCGTGTGCTTGGCACTCCTTACCAGCTGGACCCCGTCAATGGCGCTTTCAACATCGGTGCTATGATCCGCTGGCTCGATTACAATGACTGCTGGCTCGCTGCTGAGTGGGGTCACCCCTCGGACAACCTGGGTGGTATCTTGGCTGTGGCCGACTGGATCTCGCGCACCAACCGCGCCGGTGGAAACCTTGGAAATGGCAAGATCCTGAAGATCCATGATGTTTTGGAGGCCATGATCAAGGCCCACGAAATTCAGGGTGTCCTAGCCCTGGAGAACTCCTACAACAAGGTCGGCCTAGACCACGTTGTTCTCGTCAAGGTTGCGACCGCCGCTGTCGTCTCCAAGATGCTGGGTCTTACCGAGAGGCAGACCGCCGATGCTATTACCCAGGCTTGGGTGGACGGCCAGTCTCTCCGTACCTACCGCCACTCGCCCAATACCATGTCGCGTAAGTCATGGGCTGCTGGTGACGCCTGCCAGCGCGCTGTCAACCTGGTTCTCAAGGTCCAGAAGGGTGAGGGTGGTCTCCGCACTGTTCTCTCTGCTCCTACCTGGGGATTCTACGATGTCCTGTTCAAGGGCAAGAAGTTCCAGTTCCAGCGCCCCTACGGCAGTTATGTCATGGAGAACGTTCTGTTCAAGGTTTCCTATCCTGGTAAGTGCAAGAATATATTGCAAAAAATGATACTGTATGGGGATTGATGAAAGCTAACTTCTTTTTTTAATAGCCGAGTTCCACTCCCAGACTGCCATTGAGGCCGCTGAAAAGGTCAATGCCAAGCTTGCGGCCATGGGCAAGAGTGCCAAGGACATCAAGGAGATCACTAACCGCACACACGAGGCATGCATCCGCATCATCGACAAGCAGTTCAAGGAGATGGACAACTTTGCCGACCGCGACCACTGTGTGCAGTACATGGTTGCTACCATGCTCGTTTTCGGCCGCCTGACCGCCAGCGACTACGCTGACGGCTCTGAGGCCGCTACCTCCCCTCTGTTGGAGGAGCTCCGCAAGAAGATCCGCTGTGTCGAGGACACCAAGTTCACTACCGACTACCACGACCCCAGCAAGCGCACCATCCCCAATGCGCTGACTGTCACCCTGAACGATGGTACTGTCCTCGATGAGGTTGTCGTCGAAGCTCCCCTGGGCCACCGTCTCCGCCGGGAGGAGGCTAAGCCTGAGATTCTGGCCAAGTACAAGCGTCACCTAGAGGCGCACTTCGATCAGGCTCGTGTTGAGGAGCTACTGGAGTTGGGCTGGAACCGCTCTCAGCTGGAGAACTACGATGTCGACCAATATGTCGACCTCTACGTGAAGGACAAGATGATTGCCTCCTCGTAAACATTGAATGAACGGGTTTGGTGTACTGCGCTGAACATCACACGTGTATGACGAACATATTCTTTTTTTTATATACCGCAAAATTGCATAGAGCATTCTTCTTCAGTATTTCTTCAGCATTCCCATCTACATATCCTCAAAATAATTATACACATGACTATACACAGGCCTCCTCCATTCTCAGCCCGAGGCACCCGCAGTGCACTTAACCCCCAATTTCGATGGGGTATTAGCACACTGCACCTCACTACCTCCAGTTGGCGCCACAACAGTATAACCACTAACCTTGACATCGCAAGCTCCACGAGATCCACAAGAAAGATTGCCCGTGACGGCCTTATACTTTCCACTTGTCTTCCCGCTAACATTCTCAAAGACAATGCCCGTCAAATCCGAGTCCCCAGGATTCTTCGCACAGTAAGCTGCATTCTCTCCATAGCAACTCTGGATCTGAATCGCATAGTCACACCCATCAACGACAATATTCGAGAAGGTAACGTTGCTCACTGTCGACTTGGCGTGGCCGTTTCCAGGAGGATACGTCTTGATTCCCACCGCCTTGGTCGACTTGATCATCTTCGCGCCAGACACGTGCACATTCTTCACAAAGTCCTTGTTATTCTTACCCAGCGATCCCACCGAGAGTCCATGGCTTCCAATGCAGGTAATGTCCTTGACAATGACACCATTTGCACCGGGCTTGAATGCCACGCAGTCATCGCCGTTCGTCACCTTCACGTTGCTGATGGTTACGTCTGTGCTGGCACCGATGTCGAAGCCGTCTGTGTTCTTCGGATCATTCTTGCTGCTGGAGGTGGCGTCCATGTGCAGATCGAGGAACTTGGCTGTCTTGGTGTCGCCTTTGATGGAATTGAAGACGTTAGGGGGATTCTTCTGGCGGAGGTTGGAGACCTCGATGTTGGAGCCGCCGGTGATATAGAGCAGGGTCGGGCGACGGTAGCTGCTGTCTTTGGCGAAAAGGTCCCAGCTGTACGTGATGTTAGTGACCCGAAATGAGAGTTGGAAAAAATAGATCAAAAGGAAAGAAATGCATACGCGTTCTGCCCATTTCCATCAATGACTCCTTTGCCTGTCAGAGATCGGATCTTGAGTCCATCAATATTCTTGATGTTGATCATTGCTGTCTGTCCCTTCCAGACATTCGTCGACGAGCTGAATTTCAAGGTGCCCTCCAGCTGGAAGTCACAGCCAACACATCCCGCAAAATCCAGTGGGCTGTTCAAGTTGTAGGTTTTGCCAGCGGGGATGACGATCGTGCCTCCCTTGCCACATTTGGTGATTGCAGATTTGATAGCGGGAACATCGTCAATTGAGCCAGATCCACCTGCCACTGGTGTGCAAGCTGAAGCGCGAGCAGGATGTTGATGTCTTGTTCTGTCCAAGGCGAGAGATGAGCCGAGGAGGGCAAAGACTGGGAGGACGTTTGTAATTAACATGGCGCAAGTGATTGAAGGTATCACAGCTATAGCTTGTAAAAACTATGTATTTAGTGGATTATAGCTTTTATAAGCTTTAGTCTTTCTCTTCTCCCCTTTTCTCTTCCCGTTTTTCTTTTCTCGGGTGTTTTTGCATGTGGGCAGTTCCAATGTTTTGTCACCGGGTGAATAAGACAACCTGAAACGTCCCTATCTTAGCCCCCGGCCTGCCATTCGAGGATTGATTCGCTTAGAGAAGAGTATACCTTAATTTTGGAACAGAGCTAGGGTCCAGAAGCTCTTCGAAGTTACCCCATAGGTTTTCCTCCGGCAACTTTTCCGCATTGATTTTACCCCCGATCTACGATCCGCCCATATCCACTTCCGTTAAAGTCACGGAGTCCGTGAAACAAATTGAGAAAAATGAGACAATTAATTTACTGTGGATATAATTGCCTAAATATATTTACCCCTTAATGAAGTCTGAGGAAACATTGCCTCTTATGGGAATATCTCGGAGAAATATATGTCTCATCTATCTTCACAAAGCTCCGGTGGGGTTCACGTGGAGTTTCACATTGAAACGACGCTCGTATACTCCGTTCTAGAATTATCACATGTTCAACATAGTACGGAATATACGGAGTACTTTGAAATCGTATGGAGTATATAACCGACAATCATTTCCCTTTTCTTCGGTAGAACTACAATTTCAACGAAATGCATCCACAAAACTTCTTCCTCGCTGCCCTATCCCTGGGCGCGGCCGTCCTGGCCGCACCCGCTGAACTAGCCGCTCGCACGGCTAGGAACAGTGCCCCCGCAGGTTGCCTGACTGTCGGCTCCAAAGGGAAGTACTCGACTATCGGTGCTGCACTGAAGGCCCTTGGCTCTTCCTCAGCACCCGCTTGTATCTATGTCGCAAGCGGCACATACAAGGAGCAGCTCACTATCAGCTATCCCGGTGCTTTGACTTTGTATGGTCAGACTGCCGATGCGGATACGTATAAGCAGAACACTGTGACAATTACCCACACGATCTCTTCGCCCGCAGCTGGCTCGTTGGATAAGAGTGCTACTGTGAATGTTGTCACTCCTCGGTTTAAGATGCACAACATCAATGTGCAGAATGGGTTCGGAAAGAGTGCACAGGCTGTTGCGTGAGTATCTTTTTATTGCCTTTGCATTTGAATTACTAGCTGAACTCTACCAGACTTGTTGCCAATGCCGATAAACTCAGCTTCTATGCATGCCAGTTCCTTGGATACCAGGATACCCTGTATGTCAAGGCGGGAACACAGTACTACGCCAACTCCAAGATTGAGGGTAAGCCATTTTATATCAAATCCATCTACCTCACCATGATATACTAACCATTCTCAGGAGCCGTGGACTACATCTTCGGTGCTGCCTCTGCCTGGTTCAACAACTGCGACATTGTCTCCAACGGCCCTGGCGCCATCACCGCCAGTTCGCGCGAGAAGGCTAACGACAAGACCTGGTATGCATTTGATCACTGCAATGTCAAGGGTGCTGTCTCCGACGGCACTGTCTTCCTTGGCCGTCCGTGGAGAGGCCTTGCTCGCGTCATCTACCAGAACTCCAACCTGGGCAGTGTGGTGAATGCTAAGGGATGGACCCCAATGGCCCAGGGAGCTACCCCGTTGTACTATGAGTACAAGAACACTGGGGCTGGATCGAGCACTTCTGCGCGCCAGTACCTGTCTTCCATCAAGGCGGCGGTCACCAAGGAGACCGTTTTGGGAAGTGATTACGCTACTTGGATTTGATTCAAGTTAGTGAACTATAAACTCTGATCAAGGTCTAGTTTGTTGAAGTGTATTTTAGGGAGATAGGTTTGGGGTTGATTGTATTAACTGAAGTTATCAGTGAGCTGTGGAGTCAGATCAGGGTCTACATATTTTGTAATATATATTTAAATTGATTTGACTGTTACTATTCTCATAGCGTGTTACTTGGGTAGACTCCGTATATATAACATTATGCACATAGTATTGTATACTACTCCCTAGGCTCATAAGCATAAGGTAACAACTCATCAATAGAGACAGATTTGACCTCCCCACCCCTCCGCACAATAGCGCGAATCCCAGGATGCAAATCATGCAGGACTTGCCGACATCGACCACAGGGACTGATAATAACTCCGTCGCCGCCGTCTTCCCCAACGGCAACAATATGCGATAGACGAGGAGTCCCCGCACCTGCGGCTACACCGAGAACCACGAGCTCGGCACATGGTCCGCCCGTAAAGTGAAACACGTTCACGCCAGTAAAAACTTGGCCATTGGCTGAGAGGGCTGCACTGGCTACACTGTGGGTATCTGATTTGGGGATTGCATTGATGGTCGTTCTTGCGATCTCGATAAGGTTGATTTCTTCAGGAGTTAAGTCCATGGTGACGGATGAAGGGGTTCGATGCTTGATTTTGATAGAGATTTTTTGATATGGTGAGATGTCTTCAACTAGAAGAGTCTAGTCCGTAAAACAGCCGTAGATGTTAAAACTCAGGGAATTGGTGCATCTTGGGGGAGATTAATAAGGGTCCAACTCAAAAGTTGTCTCCATAGCAGGCGGGGAATGTGGAGCTCCGAGATAAACTTCCTATTCCGGTGCCCGATTGCGCAGGGTTGATTGTTGCAGAAGATGATAGTGTACAATTATGATAGTTTTTAGTGTGTAAGTTCCCGGTGTAAGGAGTTTTTGTGAAAAGAGGGCTAAGAGGAAAGTGTTAGGCAGGCCATCCTTTGGAGGAGCCAAACTACATCATGAAGGTGCCCATCCTATAGGAATATATATTTCTGTTTATCCTGACCGTAGTGATCATGGTTCCATTTACTATGCTTGCGTATGGATACATAAAACAGGGTCTTTCCCTGAGGCTTATTGGGACAGATGAACAATAGATGTAGAAATGTGGATCAAAGAACTGAATGAACACGCTTCGTGTGACGTTGATGGATATCTCAAAGCAAAAAAAAAGTGAAAAGAAAGAAAAGAAGACGAAAGCAAGGTGAGAAAAAGCAAATGATGAAAAAAGAAGCAAGAAGCCGTATCGATCCCACTGGGCAAACTTCGGAGGGTATAACCACTGACGATATCAGTGCAAATCACAAGCGCCCCCACAGGATCATGCATGCAGTCAATTCTTTCCGGAAATTATCCTCGTGTCTCCTCCCCTGGCGAATACGAAGCTTGGCAGATCGGACACTTGTACCGACGGTATTCAAACCAGGATTTCAGACAGTCTAGATGGAAGGCATGCTTGCAGCGGTTCAGTACGAGTATCTTGCTATCGGGTGGGGAATGCTGTGCCCCGCAGCTGCAGCGGGGGTCTGGGCGTGTAGTCGGGTTGCGATTGTGCTGGCCGTGGGACAGAACGGCTGGGTCGGGACAGGCGAGATATGGGGAGGAGGACAGTGCTGATAGACAGATGGGACTGGGCGAGTTAGCTTGATTCTAGAAGCTTCCAGGCGATATATCCAGGATGATTTGCGTGGTCTGTTATCTCTAGCCAAGACCACGTGTGTCTATCCAGGAACGAGGCGAATTGGCACTGGGGCGTATTTGCAGGCAAAAATGCTTTGCCCAGAAATGTGAACCCGCCTCGAAGATAACTGCCGACCCCGATAGGGCGGAGGGACCGAGAGCCCAGCCCTGGTGCCCCCGCACTACATCATCGAGCCAAGAGGTTCGATGAGAGGGGGCCGGAATCGGAGACCGGTGGAATGCTGAGAAATCACACTTACCAAGTATCTTGGCCGTATTGCTGCGCATTGGCAGGTACGTTTTGTTCTTCCAACCATCGATCCACGGATACAGGTTGGCCTAACACGTTCTGCAACTGTACCTGATAGACAGGTGGGAGAACCCGGGTTTCGGCCATTGCCCGCATGGCTGTGCGTCGTCGGTGATGCCACATGATCATTCTGAATGGAAAATCATACAAATCAGTGATCGGCACGTCAGAAGTTCGAGAACAATTCGTATGCATGAAGCGCGGGGGTTTGCCAAGACTACTATGCCTCCGTACTCACACTGGGATCATGCTGATCAGGGTAAACAGTGCAACGGCCCCAATCACAACCCCAATTATCTCCTCTCGCGGCATGGAATCGTCCGCCATGAGTGGAGGGTCATATGGAATCTGGGTCCAAGCGAAGAAGATACGAGGAGGAAAATCAAAATAAAGAATTGGAGTATTGCCCAATAGACCCAATAAAAATTGAGGAATAGCGCAACGTGAGACAGTGCAACCTGGATCGGATCACTCGGGTCAATTATGTATTCAGGCACCGTGTCCCCAATAACAATTGATGGCCCATTATTTGAGGCAACAAAACAAGAGTAAATCGGGGGTTTGCCACATAGGAGTGGAAAAATGTCCCTGGAGAAGTAGGTGGCTTTGAAGCGGAGGAACTCTCGAGCCCCGAAATGCCAAGAGGTTCCAAGTGCCAAGAGCCAAGGCGCCTAGAGGTGGGAAATAAATTAGAGCAACAGAAAGCGACGACCGGTCTAGCCAAGGGATGCCAAGAACCCTCCGCACCAATGAGAGTGAGAGAATTGTCGCGTGGGGACCGGGCGAGATGTGCCCAGAGTCTTTTGCGTCATCGTCTGAATTGGGCAAGTCAGTATGATGCGCCAAGGATAGTCTGCTTAATACCGAGATCTGGTATATGAAGCTGATTGGCCATCAGAACATCATTATGCTGGTTCCCCGGACGTCGGACACAATTTCCATCAGATTACTTCCGGTCCTAACAGCCGCTTATCTTTCGCCATCGACTGGCATTCTGATCCTATTTATACCTTAAGACACCCCCCCCCGGAAGCAAAGACAAGAAGTTTATTTCATAGAAGTGTGCCTATTACTCTAAGTAATTCCGGTGTATGGACTCTCATTTTCTTACAGATACCTTCTATAAGTTGCCACCTTAAAGAGCCTCATAGAAGTATTTCACTCAATTCACCCACCTCGCTCAACTAGAGAAACACTCTTACCATTTGCGAAATCGCGAAATGTCGCAGGAAGCCCAAAAAGGCTCTGGCTCTGAGAGCCCTGCTGACATTACACAACCTCTCTCCCAGCCCGCCCATAGCCTCTCCTTCGAAGACGTCATCAGCGAACTCCAGACCAATTCTGACGATGGTCTGACAACTGCGGAGGTCAAGCAGCGCCTTGAGAAATATGGCGAGAACATACTTGAAGGGGACGAAGGGGTCTCCTTGGCGAAGATTGTCATTCGACAGATCGCCAATGCCATGATGCTGGTAAGTCAGAAGCCGGTAAGATCCGCCAAAGATTGATTGCTAAAAGCTTGTAGGTCCTCATTATCGCTATGGCCGTCAGTTTCGGTATCCAGTCCTGGATCGAAGGAGGCTTCATCGCTGCCGTCATCGCTCTGAATATCGTTGTCGGTGTCTACCAGGACTACGCCGCAGAGAAGACTATGGACTCGCTGCGCTCGCTCAGCTCCCCCACAGGTGTAGTATCTCGCGATGGCAAGACGGCAACCGTCCCAGCCAATGAGATCGTCCCCGGTGACATGGTTGAATTGAAAGTAGGAGACACTGTTCCTGCTGATGTCAGGTATGTACCGCAAACCTCACACATATTATACCAAAACCCCCATCTAACAGTTTCGCAGACTTGTTGAAGCATTCAACTTTGAAACCGACGAAGCACTGCTAACCGGCGAGTCCCTCCCGGTCCAGAAAGAAGCAGAGGCGATCTTCGAGGTCGACACTGGCCCAGGCGACAGACTGAACATCGCCTACAGCTCGTCAACCGTGACCCGAGGGCGTGCTCGCGGTGTCGTCGTGGGAACCGGAATGAAGACCGAGATTGGAGCTATCGCTCAAGCCCTCCGCGGAACTGACTCGAAGCGTCGGCCTGTCAAGCGTGGTCCCGAAGGTGAAACAAAGAAGAGATGGTATATCCAGGCTTGGACATTGACGACCACTGATGCTATTGGTCGGTTCTTGGGTACCAATGTTGGTACGCCTTTGCAGCGGAAACTATCCAAGCTGGCACTTCTTCTCTTTGCCATTGCTGTTGTTTTTGCAATTGTCGTTGCTGCGTCGAATGACTGGCGCGGTGATAGCGAGGTTATCATTTATGCGGTCGCGACTGGTCTGGCTATGATTCCGGCCTGTTTGGTGGTTGTGTTGACAATCACCATGGCCGTGGGTACGAAACAAATGGTCCAACGTCATGTCATTGTCCGGAAGCTGGATTCCTTGGAGGCACTCGGAGCTGTCACCAATATCTGCTCAGATAAGACTGGTACTCTGACCCAAGGCCGCATGGTCGCGAAGAGGGCTTGGCTTCCATCCCTAGGAACTTACTCAGTCGGTGCCTCAAATGAACCTCTCAACCCCCAAGATGGTGAGCTGAGCTTGATGGCCGAGCCCCCGATCAAACTGGGTGCGGAGAATTTGGGCGATGCAGCGTCCCCAGATGACCTCTTAAAAGACAACGATACACTCAAGGACTTCCTCAACGTCACTGCTATGGCTAACTTGGCCCATCTCCATCAAACTGCTACCGATGGATGGCAGGCTCGCGGCGAACCCACCGACATTGCCATTCAGGTTTTCGCCTCTCGGTTTAACTGGGGCTTGAATCGCTGGACCAAGGGCGACAAGCCGATCTGGCAACAACAGGCCGAGTATCCATTCGACTCAAGTGTGAAGAAAATGTCTGTTATTTTCACAAAGCGTGACGACAACTCAGAGAAGAGTCGCGAAATGATCTTCACCAAGGGCGCTGTCGAGCGAGTTCTCGAGGCATGTACCACTATCAAATGGAAACCTGACTCCGAACCCGTTCCTATCAGCGATGAAATGCGCGAAGAAATCTTGCAGAATATGGAAGCGTTGGCTAAAGAGGGTCTTCGTGTGCTAGCTATGGCCGGCCGCGAGAACACCTCTCCCGCAAAAGAAGGCAGCGACCCTCTTCCCCGCGACGAGGTCGAGAAGGACTTATCGTTCTATGGTTTGATCGGTCTCTACGATCCCCCTCGTCCGGAGACGGCTGGAGCCATTGCCCTGTGCTACAAGGCTGGAATCTCCGTGCACATGGTTACCGGTGACCACCCCGGTACTGCGCGTGCGATTGCTGCGCAAGTCGGAATCATTCCCGCGAACATGGATCTGATCGCCAAGGATGTTGCTGATGCTATGGTCATGACGGCTTCACAGTTTGACAAATTGACCGAAGACGAGATTGATGAACTTCCCACACTTCCATTGGTTATTGCTCGCTGCGCGCCTAATACGAAAGTCCGTATGATTGATGCACTCCACCGTCGTGGGCGCTTTGTTGCTATGACCGGTGATGGAGTTAACGACTCTCCCTCACTTAAGCGGGCTGATGTCGGTATCGCTATGGGTCAGAATGGCTCTGACGTGGCCAAGGATGCTTCTGAGCTAGTGCTGTCTGATGATAACTTTGCTTCTATCATCAACGGTATTGAGGAAGGTCGTCGTATTTTCGATAACATCCAGAAATTCGTTCTGCATCTTCTTGCGGAAAATGTTGCCTTGGCTTTGACACTGCTTATTGGATTGGCCTTCAAGGATGACACCAACCAGTCTGTCTTCCCTATTTCCCCCGTCGAAATCATCTGGATTATCATGATTACCTCTGGTCTCCCTGATATGGGCCTGGGAATGGAGATCGCCGCTCCAGAAGTGATGGATCGGCCACCGCAAAGTGTAAGTCTCTAAAAGCCCCCTCCCCTACAATGAATCCACTAACAAACCACAGAAACAAGGTATCTTCACCTGGGAAATCATCATCGATACCCTTGTCTACGGAGTCTGGATGGCTGCCCTCTGTCTGTCAGCATTCTCTCTCGTCATGTTTCAATGGGGCAACGGCGATCTCGCCCAGGGCTGCAACACACATTACAACGACCCCAGCAAACCTTTCGACTGCGACACAGTTTTCCGCGCCCGCGCGACAACATTCACCTGCATGACCTGGTTTGCCCTATTCCTCGCCTGGGAGATGATGCATCTCCGCCGCAGCTTCTTCCAGATGCAGCCCAACTCAAAGAAGGTCTTTACTCAGTGGATGCATGATATCTGGCGCAACAAGTTCCTCTTCTTCGGTATCATGACTGGCTTCGTTCTTGCCTTCCCTATTATCTACATCCCTGTTATCAACCACAGTGTGTTCAAACACAGCAGTATCTCCTGGGAGTGGGCTATCGTCTTTGTTGAGACGGTGCTTTTCTTCCTTGGTATTGAGAGCTGGAAGTGGTGCAAGCGTATTTACTTCCGCCGTCAGGACCGAAAGGCTGCGGCTCGGGGTGATGGCGATCGTCGGGATATGAGAGATTTCAGTCGATATACCACTATGGACCGCTCGGATACTCAGGCTAGTGAGGTGAAGGTGGAACAATCTATGGTTTAGATGTCTAATGAACAAGTAATCTTCAAATGAAATAGATTTACTCAAATGAACAACAAAGAATGCACATTACAAGATGTATACTTCTTTAAATTGACCCTGCGCCCTGTCATAATTTATATTGCGTAAAGGTACACCGCTTGCATCAGCTAAGGATCGAGTAGTAGAATCCCAAGTCTGAATCAGCTCATAGTAGCCAGTGTCTTTTCCGATTATGAGGAGAATATTGGTCAGCATCACTTCATGAATGTTTTGGAAAATAGTCTGAATGGATAAGCAAAAGAAAATGCGTCGCCAAACAGGTAATATAACACTATGTAGTATGTCATAGCATAATGGACCTCTCTTTAAGAGCCTCGAACATGAATATGGTAGTTAAACCAGCGTCTCTGACTGAAAATGGAAACAATGAGGGCAGGTGAGCACGAATGAGTCCACAGCCTGTAGAAGGTCTCGCTGACTTCTAGCAAAGCCTCGATTGAATTTTGCCATTTTCGATGCCAAGTCCGCGACAAGAAGCTCTCATGTACACTCCTTGGCATCTCTCGCGCGCGAGTTCATGAGAAGGGCGACAATTAGACCGTACAGGCCTTGAACACATATTAGCTTCTCATTCTGCGTATTTCTAGAATATTGTATCTCGTCTTACCAAGAACTTCAGCAAAGATGAGTATTAGAATCATGCCGACATATAGTTTTGGCTGCTGAGCTGTTCCGCGAACTCCGGCATCTCCAACGATACCAATAGCGAAACTAGAACCATGATGAAAGCACCATCTTAGCTATGTCTGGGGGCTTATTTGTTACGCAACTTACCCAGATGCTAAGCCGGCTAGGCCGACGGAGAGACCCGCACCAAGTTGGACCAAGCCTGTGTACAAGGGAAGATTTTGCTTCAGATCATTTGCAACAAGAACGGAAACGACTAAGCCATAGATGCCAATAATTCCAGCCATCACAACCGGAACTATGTCTATCGAACCATATCTGGATTAGCATCGTATCTCAAGTAATAAAACGACTCATCTTTAACGGCATAGCCCTTCTGCAAACTCTTCCGGCATTTGGACGTGACATACTCTTTACAACTAAGTCGGGTCGCAAGACAGCTGTCGAGCAAACGCCAGTTCCAGCCTTAGCAGTTCCGTATGCAGCACCAAAGCAAGTAAAGACAATTGCGCAGACACAGCCCGTGGCGCCAAAAAATGGCTGGGGGTCTCAAAGTTAGCAACTTAAATCGGGGTAGCGAGTTTAGAAATAGCGAGTAATAAGGGCATGATGTTTGGCTGATGCCTGGGTCGTCTCGTATGACGCCGCCACGAGGGAGAGCAAACTCACGGCATAGACAGGACTAAGAGAAGATTTAGTGAGTAGGGATTTGATGCAGGATATTATAAGGGCAGAGAAACAGACTAAAATAGGAAGGAACCAGACGAGATTCCCGGGGTCTACGATCTTTGCTTACCATAATTCTGAAACCATTTTGCTGATTGGTTTGGCTATTTGAGCGCTTCAGGAAGACAACTTGAAGATATGTTAGAATATAAGAACACAATCTCACACGGATGTTATTGAGCGAGACAGAATTTCCCAAGCTAAGTCTACCCCGCTGTACCTAGGCAGTCGTAAGGTTGTCAGCGCTGGAGCCTGGAGATGAATTTCGCTTACTAGTAGCTACAGGGGTCTGGTGGTTTTACTATTTAGAGCTAGTTAAATCCGACCCCGGCTTGGCACAATTACCAAAAGACGTAGGAGAACATTTTCTAGCAAAGAGAAAGGCATGTGTTAGGGTGTAGAATCCGCTTCATATAGCTAGATTGCTGGGTGTTCGTTCTATGTGGGCATATACTCTGTAGGTTATATGCGTAGGGAGTCTTAGAACAACGGAGAAATGTCCTATCTGGCGAGCACTAATCACGGGATTGATTCATTGGATGCTTCTCATTTGCAGGATAAGCTTGTATGTTGAGTTGCAGTTCTAGTTCAACCACACTAATTAAGTATAGGTGTTGAGTAGAGTTGGAATCAAATGTGAGCGGGAGCTGAGAGTCACCACGAGAGAAAGGACGGCAACTGTCACGATCTGAAATGTCTCCAGCCTTTCGTTGAGGGGACAACGATCAAGCCTTCTGGTGAATATGCCCTGGAGCCCTGGAGAGGAGCCGCTGACTAAGCTGTTTTCGCGCTTTACTCCAGTGAGCAAAAAGCGGCAAGCACCGAGGACTAAAACGGAAAGGGAAAGCCAAGGATTGGCAGAGGAAATCAAGTATGTAGGTATAATATTATAACTAGACTTGATTGACGACCGTAGGATAATCTATATGGGAATCAAAATACAATAAGTCCAATCCAAATCCGACTCGATTTAAGTACTTTGAACTAAGCTTTGCTAGGAGACAATCTCCACGCAAATGCAAAACCCAAAGAACCTCATACTTTCATAATTTTGACGCATTTCTATGACTTTGATCAAGCCACGACTGGATCATTCGCGTCAAACCATCAATTTCTCTCTCGGTGTTTCCCGCATGCAAACACACTCGTACCCGTTCTTTTCCCTCGGGAATAGTCGGCGGCATAATCGCTCGAACAATGAATCCGTTTTCTTGGCAGAGACTCGCCAGCTGCCGTGGCTGCGACGTGCGAAGGGATATGATAGGAGATGTGGGGAAATGGTCGACTTCAAACATGACTGATTGATATGTATGGAGGCCATCGAGTTGTTGTCGGAGATGGCGGATCAACTCTTGAAGCCGGTGTTGTAACTGTGATCCAGTAAGCTATCAGTATATCAATAGGATGGGGAGTGGAACGACTGACTGATACAGTTTCACCGGATGACAGGAGCTCATATGCTGCGCGAATCGATGCTAGGAATGGGAATCCTAGAGCGGTGGTATAGATTAGACTCCGGGCGTAGTTGATCAGGTAATCCCTTGTCTCTGGTCCACAGAGAACCATGGCTGGATACATGTCAGTCGTGTATTTCAAAGGAGGATCAAACCAGACAAGGCAACATACCTCCATGACTCGCTAGTGCCTTGCCGAATGTATGTACTCGGATGAACATGCGGTCCTGGACGCCGAGTTCCTGAACCACCCCAGCACCCCGCGGTCCAAATACACCAGTCGCATGCGCTTCGTCGACATAGAAATATCCATTACCATGAGGTAGCAGTTCATCAACAATCGCGATGAACTCCTTGATGGGAGCAACATCGCCGTCCATGCTGTAGATGGACTCAATGATCACGAAGACATTACGTGTGCCTTCCGCGATTGCTGGGTCTGCGGCTATCTGCGACTGCAGAACCTCTCTCAAACCAATTGGCGAACTGTGGGCAAACATCTTCCGAGGACCGGCCCGCGACAGTCGCATGCCCTCATGGACACTGGCGTGGATCAGCTCATCGTATAGAATTACGTCGCCTGGCTGGGGAATACTGGATAATACGCCGACATTGGCGTCGTATCCGGAGTTGAATAGAAGTGCCGTCGGGGCTTGATGGAATGTCGCGACAAAGTTCTCGAGCTCTTCCGCGCAAGCCGAATTCCCGTCTAATAGGCGAGAACCTCCGCTGGCAAGGGGGAATGATGGTGGTGTGTTATTTAAAAGTGCCAGAAAACGTTCTCGGTATGCAGAGGACGTTGATAGTGACAGAAAGTCATTGGAGGAGAAATCCACAGCTGTCCGGGGTAAAACGGTCAGCCTCCGACGGGCAGATTTGGCTTCCCGGCGCGACAATGCGGCGGATAGTGAGTCAACGAGAGTTCTGGGCGAGGCTGTGCTTAATGCGCTCGATGTGCTCGATGCGCTCGATGCGCTCGATGTCCCGGGGTGGGTGGCAGCCATTGTATCGACTTTCATGTTCACTGACGTCAATTCCCCTGATGATCTTGATTGTGTTCCTGAGGTGATCCGCGAATTATTCACGAAATATCCACTTTATTTTTAGTTTCGAATATTGTTGATTGTTGAGATTGACAACAGAACAGATTCAATTGCCCAAAGCCAAAAGGGCTCAAGTCGTTGAGTCACCCAACAAGAGAGTCCGGTGAAATGCAGAAAATGTGGGGATTTTGGCGTGGAGTCGGAAACTCAATGTTGTACCGAGGTCTGTTTCGAGCTTCATCGTGACTTTGACTCACTTCACTTCATATCATCATGCCTCCAGTCGGCGCAGCGCTCTGGCGTAGTTTACGAGCCCACCAAGTCTACGGGGCTAACACGGACGTGGGGAAGACAATTGTCTCCACGGTGTTGTGTAATGCGGTCCAACGGCAAAAACAGCAGGCCGCATTTCTTAAGCCCGTGTCAACAGGGGCATTGGATGATGCCGACGATCGGTAGGCGAACTTTGAGACAATTCAATTGAATTTTATTCCGTTCAATCGCTAACGGTCGCAGGCACTTGAAACGTTACGGCGCTGGGACGCTCACCAAATGTCTCTACCAATTCGATGACCCAGTAAGCCCGCATTTGGCAGCCAAGGATAAATTCGTAAGTGCCCTTTGTTTTAATTAGAAGACTCGAAACTCATCGCGCAGATTCCGCGAGACGATGATCTGCTCGCATCCATACATAACACGCTGTCTGGCTGGGCGCGGTCGGACATTGATTTCGCCCTTGTTGAGACTGCCGGGGGCGTGCACTCCCCGGGCCCCAATGGCAACTCACAGGCAGACTTGTATCGACCACTACGGCTGCCAATCGTGCTAGTGGCAGACTCTCGTCTAGGAGGAATCTCTTCTTCAATCTCTGCCTACGAGTCGTTGCTCCTTCGTGGCTACGATGTCTCATCGGTTCTCTTGTTCCGAGATGAGTACTACCAAAATCACGAATACCTGCGTGATTATTTCCAGAAAAAAAGCATTCCATTGGTTTCGCTACCAGCACCCCCATCCCGACCATCGCAGCTGGATGCGGATTCTCAATTAAGGGACGAAGAGGCTATGCTCAACTATTACCAAAAGTCTGCTCAGGAGTCGGAGATCCTTAGACTGCTTGAAGAGATGTCCACCAAGAATACCGAGCGCGTCCAGCGCCTGGAAGAGATGGCCGACCGTGCGCAAGAGTTGATATGGTATCCTTTTACCCAGCACCAAGGCATGAAGGCCAAGGATATTACCGTCATCGACTCAGCACATGATGATTACTTCCAAACATTCGGCTCCAGCAAACCGGAAGATGCCCAAAGTGAACTGCGCCCGACATTTGATGGATCTGCTTCTTGGTGGACGCAAGGCTTGGGTCATGGTAACCCCGAGCTGTCATTATCTGCTGCCTATGCCGCCGGTCGGTACGGACATGTCATGTTTGCAGGAGCTGTCCATGAGCCAGCATTGTCGCTTGCGGATAATTTACTGAAAACCATCGAAAACCCGAGGCTTACTAAGGTATTCTACACAGACAATGGAAGTACGGGGATGGAAGTTGCCGTGAAGATGGGTCTGCGTGCTTCTTGCGACCGGTACGGCTGGGACGCCAGCCAGGAGCAGATTGGTATTCTTGGACTCAAGGGTAGCTACCACGGTGACACCATTGGTGTGATGGATTGTTCGGAGCCCTCAACATTCAATAAGAAGGTCGAGTGGTATCGTGGTCGTGGCCACTGGTTCGATTTCCCTCTTGTCAAGATGGTTGGCGGATCTTGGAAAGTTGAGATCCCCGGTGAGCTGCAGGCAGAACTCGGCGAGGATGTTGATTTCACTTCATTGGGGTCGGTCTTTAACCTCAACCAGCGTCTTGAGTCTGCCACTGCCCAGCGTTACAAGGACTACATCCGTCGCACAATTGAGGATCTGGTCCATCGTCAAGGAGTGAAGTTTGGTGCATTGATTCTGGAACCGGTCATTCTCGGTGCGGGTGGAATGCTTTTCTGGTAAGAATGCAGCAGCAAGATCGTTCATTTAGAGATGAACTAACCATTTGCTCCTAGTGATCCACTCTTCCAAAGATGTCTGACCGATGTGGTCCGCGACCACCCGGAGCTGTTCTCCACCAACGCTCCCGCCGCCAAACAATCTCCGTCGTGGTCCGGACTCCCAATCATCTTCGACGAAGTCTTCACCGGACTGTACCGACTCGGTCGCCGCACATCTGCGTCTTTCTTAGGTGTCCACCCTGACGTTGCTGTCAACGCTAAACTCCTCACGGGCGGCCTGGTACCGCTATGCACGACTGTTGCTAGCGAGGAAATTTTCGATGCTTTCTCGAGCCCCGAGAAGAGCGACGCCCTTCTCCATGGACACAGTTACACCGCCCATGCTGTTGGATGCACGGTCGCTGTTGACTCCTTGAAGACTATGGCTAAGCTTGATTCTGATGGATCGTGGGATGCATACCGTGCTGACTGGCGTAGCAGCTCGCCTGCTACTGCTGAAGCTTCAACTCCGGACGTGTGGAGTGTCTGGTCGCATGGTCTCCTTCAGGACTTATCCTCCACGGACTCGGTGGAGAGCGTGTTTGCTATCGGAACTGTGCTTAGCATTTCGCTGCGTGATGCAGCTGGTGGAGGTACGTTCTTCAGACCTGAAACATTGATGAAGCTAACAATATCGTAGGCTATAACTCCAATGTCGCCAAGGGACTGCAGCAGAAGCTGGCCGTTGGCGGTGATCAGTTCAATGTTCACTCGCGTGTCCTTGGCAATGTTCTCTACCTGATGTCTAGTGTTACTTCCAAACCCGAGTCGCTCCAAGAGATGGAGCGTCTCCTCCGATCCGCAATAGTGTAGGTACTAGATAATAATACCTATATACTGACTTCGCAATTGAATATTTCATCGCATTGTCTTGTACACAGCATCTGCAACCATTGGGTACCAGCCCATATCACTGCCATTCGTAACCTAGGAGGCACTTGTTTCATTATTTCCAGGTCCCACAGCCGGAATTTCTTATAGATTTCCCTTTATCAATGAACCGTGTGATACACACTTCAAGTTCTCTATCAACAACCGCACTATGATTGTCGCGAATGATCTAGTGTCGATTCACCTATAAAACACATAGTTCTCGGTGTCTCTTGCTATAAGTAAGCCTGTCTTGTGTTAATTAGGTGCGTGTAGTCAGTAGGGATTAACAATACAGCCCATCGACACGTCTCTAGTGTGTTACTGCTATTTTCTAGACGTCTTATTCCCACAGAATTGATGTAATATCACTATGTTACACGCCCTTCGGTGTTAGCTAACCACCTGAAATTGGCTAACGCCCAAGGGCATTCTATCATTTTTGGTCTGTTGTGATCGTTCTCGGCCGTGATACTTCCTTTTTTACATTACTATCATCAAACCAAACCAAGTTTTCATCACTAGGAGTTTTTCACTGGAATCCATTCCCCAGAACGCCTGTTCAAATTCAACCAACGTTGAGGGAATAGTATATCACGGCGCCTTCAGACAAGTGGAATCTCATCAATGAGAGAATCCTTGTTACCTAGACGAAACGGAATGCGGCTATTCTACCCAGGTAGAGAATTGGTCATTGCGTTTACGGATGATTTCGGCCCTCGGCCTATAGATTGTCGTATTGGGTGGTATACTCCGTGCTAAGGAGGGGTTTGTAGAGCAGTGTGGTGGTATCAACACTTTCATTGATTGCATTACATGATTGACTCCACAGGAACTGCGAGAGGTGGAGTGCTTTTGAGGATTGGCTCAGCGCGGAGAATGGTTGTTTGCGCATTTAAACTTCGACTTACGTTCGAATTGCTTGCAACCCGGGGTCGTCCGGGGGAAGTTTGGAGATGCAGGGCTCGGTATGTGGAGGGAGCTACGGGGTACAATGTGCATAGTAAGTACCGAGACTCCAATTTCTGTGTTAATTGATGTACAATGTGTTTCCCGATCAGGAAGGAATGGCACAATGATTTATAATAAATTGTTACGTTGGTTGTGGCCAAAGCACTGTTCACAAATACCGCCCGTAAGTAGTATCTGCCCTATGGTGTCCACGGGTAATAGCCCTGCATTAGTCTTCGGATATGCGGCTTGACAATATAGCCGAACCATAGATGCCTGCCTAGGTGGATTTAGCAAGGCTTGACTAAAATTAATTTTTTGGTGGCAAACCTTAGAAAGAGCTTTATCCGAAAACCCACGGTCGCTCTTTGCATACTAGAATTTTTTGGCCACTGGACCCTGAGTTATTCGCCTTCTCTCAGGCACAGGGTGAAATCTACAATGTACGTATACTGTTCATTAATACTCGCAATAACTGAGATAATCTGCAGAGAGCAACCCAAAAACGAGTGCACATCTTGGCATTTAGTAACAGCTTGAAGCATTGAGACTTGGCATTGGCCCAGCATCGGAATAGGCGGCTATCGTCGGCCAGCCACGCGAGTCCGGTAATTCTTGTTAGATAATAGAATTCCGAGCCGAGGCTATGATTGGCCTGTTGACACGAAAGCGGGTCACAATGACCCCACTTCCCTGTGCGGAAGTGGACCCACTTACGCTTAATTTCTATGGATGATCGCAACTTGGCATCAAAGCTTTGCCTTTTTTTTTTTTTGTCTGAGCCGCAATATTATTCAAAACATAATGTGAATAGGCAATAGAAATTGAATTGCCACCGATAAGCTCTGATACATACCCCTGTTGAGGAGATCCGGGCCCCAGAATTCTGCCCTCCAACTCTCCATACAAGTGAAGCCGGGGTTGTCTCGGTTGACGTTGAGGAAAGCTCCACCTCTTGGCTAGAGATTTTTTTTTCTTTGCACACATAGAAGCAGCTCAGTTCTCCTCTTCCTTCCTTCTTTTTCTCTATTCCCGCTTTCACTCCTTCCCTGTCGGTATATACGCGTCGACATTATGATTCACGATGGAGTGACACCCTACCAAGACCCGACTGATTCAGAGTCGGGATATAATGAGAAGAAGATGTTGGAGGATCAGAGTCCACAATACCAGGATGCCTTTGGAAATGAGGAGGGTGCCGAGGTTAAGTATAAAACTATGAAGTGGTGGTAAGTTCACGCAATGAAGCAACAACCTTTCAGAATATGGGCTAATTTGGTGATAGGCAAACGGGAATGTGTAAGTGCTAACACGCGCATGACCGCGACTGTGGATCAGTTGATCAGTTATTATGGACCAACTCTGACCATTATCTAGTCATGATCGCCGAATCCGTTTCTCTGGGTGTCTTGTCCCTACCCAAGACCCTTGCCCAGCTAGGTCTTGCCCCAGCTCTCGTCCTCATTATCGGACTGGGAATTCTCGCTACCTATACTGGATACACGATCCACCAATTCCGCGCCCGATACCCCCACATCCAGAACTTGGCCGACGCTGGCGAGGTCTTGTTCGGTGCTTTTGGACGTGAGCTGTTTGGCCTCGGACAGCTGCTCTTCTCGATTTTCATCATGGGTTCTCACATCTTGACTTTCAGTGTCATGATGAACACCGTTACCGAGCACGGAACCTGCACGATGGTTTTCACCGCTGTCGGCTTCGTCATCTGTTTCGTCTGCTCTCTGCCCCGTACTATGAAGAACATGACTTATATCTCGTGCATGTGTATGTTAAACCGAATTGGGCTGGGACTCAGAAGAATCATCGCTAATTGTCATATATAGCCTTCGCTAGTATTGTGACTGCAGTCGTCGTCACCATGGTTGCAGTCGGTGTTCAGAACCAGGGTGGTCAGAACCTCAAGGCTACTATCGACACCGATCTGGTCCAGGCCTTCAGCGCTGTCACCAACATCGTCTTTGCCTACTGCGCCCACGTGGCTTTCTTTGGTCTGATCGCTGAGATGGAGGAACCTAAGGACTTCCCCAAGGCTCTGATCATGTTGCAAACCTTCGAAATAATCTTCTACACCGTTGCTGCAGTGGTGATCTACTACTATGTTGGCCAGGATGTTACGTCTCCCGCTCTTGGATCTGCGGGCCCTATTCTAAAGAAGGTTGCTTACGGAATTGCCATCCCAACTGTACGTTGCTTTCCCATTCTATCCCATCTTCAGCTGCTGACACTCTCACAGATTATCGGTGCTGGTGTCGTCAACGGCCACATCGGTCTTAAGTACATTTACGTCCGCATTTTCCGTGGCACTGACCGCATGCAGAAGCGTGACATGGTTGCCGTTGGCTCCTGGGTTGCCATTGGCCTTGTTTGCTGGGTTATTGCCTGGATTATTGCCGATGCTATTCCCGTCTTCAGTGATTTGCTGAGTCTGATTAGCTCGCTGTTCGCTAGTTGGTTCAGTTACGGTCTTGGTGGTGTGTACTGGTTGCACATCAACAAGGGCAAGTGGTTCTCTTCTCCCCGGAAGATTGCACTCACTATTTTGAACGTGTGCATTATTTTGATTGGTGGTTGCATGTGTGGTCTTGGCCTTTACGTTTCCGGCAAGGCCATTCATGACGATTCCTCCAACAACAGCTTCTCTTGTGCTAGCAATGCCGTGGTTTAAGCCTGTTGCTTGTATATAAAATGTTTTGATGTACACTTTGTTGCTGGCGATATCATTTGATTTGGTTATTATAGATTTCTGCACATAGATTCGGTATCGGATATATTTTCAGCGTATCGTTCTTGTTTATAATAAAGTACTAAATAATAGATACAGTACAGACTCGGATAAAAAGGCAGACAGCTGTGCTATTGGCACCAAGCAAAAATATATTATTAGAAGCGAGTTCCTAGAGAGGTTCACTACCTGAAATGGCCGCAACAGGCCGTTTTAGGTCGTCGATCTGCCGAATTCCTCTCTCCGCTTAGCGCGCACCTTGGAGTTTTCTAGTGTTCCCTGAATGTATTACGATAGAGATTGAAACACAGAACAAGCAAGTAGATTTGATCACATTCGTTTCTTCTTTTTTTTTCTCTCTCATCGTTCGGACTTTGCCTAGGCCAACTGAAGGTCACGTGTACTGCGCAGATTGCCACCATCGTCAACCGTAGTTCACGCCACATGCCGGCTATCTCCGGAATGCGGAGAATCATTTGAGAGGTACGGAGTACTCTGTACATAACTTCAACAATGATTCATGCACGAGATCGAGCACATTCTGTGTGTACTCACTGCCATTCTCGCAAAGTAAAATGTGATCTAGAGGAGAGTCCAGACAATGTCTGTAGTAATTGCCGTCGGTTCAATCAATCATGCATGTTCGTTTTCACGTCCTCCAGTTGCATACAACCGAAACAAAACCCGAGACATGCTGACCCAAATATCGAAGCAAACGAGAGGGTATGCGCAAGCGACAAAAGATGGCAGGCACGGGGTCCTCTTCCTATAGATCACCAAAATCAATATCTGGCGATGCAACTGCAGAAGTTGGGGCTTTAGCCTCACACCCGCAATTAACCCCAGTAATTCAGTCTCGAACACGGCGGTCAGAAGGAGAGGGAAGCGGACCTCAGAATCATGCCGGATTTATTGCGGATCACTCAGTCCTAGCCTGCGACGAACCTACACCGCTCACAGTGCCAGAAGGCTCCATATCTTGCCCTTCGCATGTCAGAGAAGCCATCTTATCAGCGACAGAGGCATTGATCCTACCAGTTCCACCACTCCGAAGGGCACTGGTCGATGTCTTCTTCAAGCAAGTTTACCATGACTATCCAGTGGTTGATCTAGAGGATATCTCGGCGCCAGATTCGTCGATTCTACTCCAACAAGGGGTATGCCTAGCAGCCAGCCTCGTGCGACAGGGACCTGACAACCTGAAACTCTCACAATCACTGTACGAGAAAGTCAAGACATTGATTTACCTCAATTACGAGCCCGACAGCATCTCGACATTGAAAACGTTGTGTCTCTTATCTTGCTGGAGTGTAAAGCCCCCTGACAAGATGAGTCTCGATGGGCCATGGTATTGGACCGGTGCGGCCTCGCGAGTCGCACTTCAGATGGGTTTGCATAAAGAGTCTACCTATATCAACAATCCCCATGCCTCCTGTCTTCGGAGAATCTTTTGGCAGCTACATGTTTGTTTTAATCCCAAATGAATGCCTACATATAAGCATGACTGACATACTTTATCTCTGTATAGAACGCCGACAAACTACAGCTTGCTTGCTGGGGCCGTCCGCCATCATTTAGTCCTCTCTACATTGATGTGAAGCTACCATCTTTGATAGATTTTGGAACGCGGACTATGCACGCGACATCATTCATTCAATTTACAAAACTTTGTACGATTATTGGAGAAATTTCCGAGCTTCACCTACGACGGCAGCCTATTGATGCGGGCGAATCATCTCAACTCACTCAAGAACTATGTAAATGGGTGCAAGAGGTCCCCGCAGAGCTCCATCTATATGATGCTGGGACGGGGTCGAGAAATAAGTTCAGTCGTGCTGCATCTGAGTTATTTATCAGGTACTTTGCCGCCATTATTTTGCTACAACGCCTACAAGGTGAGCTATATCCGCAGAGGCACACATCAATACATTGCCTCATCGCCTCTTCATGCATGATCCGTCTCTACGAGGAGATTGTCTTCAGAGAGGAAACGTGCTTTTTGCTTCCAATCAATGGTTTCCTGTGTATGGTGGCGTCCCTCCCTCAGATATACTACAAGCCTCGGTCGGCGGAGAGAGAAGCTGCCCGTAAGTGTGAGATTGATATTCTCTGCTCTGTAATGAAACATATGCGAGGGAAGTATGGAGGATCCGAGATGGTTCTCAGAAGGATCCTCAAGTTGCAAAGAAATGTGGATGCTTCCATGGAAGGACGGACTCTAGGACCAGGCGCTCCAGGAACCCCCAGCAGTCCTATTTCAGATGGGTCTTGCGGTCGTCTCGATGAACTATTTCCATTTCCTGCAGACATGTGCAGCCACATGGACTTGATACAGCGGGGTGGTGACCCTGAGGAGTATTCTGCTCAAAGCTTTCTTCCAATGGAAAATGAATGGGCATCTTGGCTTCTTACCGAGGACCTTGACTTTGTGGATTCACTCGATATGTCAAATCTTATCTAGGAGGCATTCCCCAGATGTCAATGCCTTGCGTTTTGCTACGCCGTTAGCTTCCATGAATGTGACTGCTCATGAAGACAGACTAGCGAATAGTGAATTGGTAGAAATCTCGAAATCCTGAGAATCATTCCCTGAGAATTATTCATCCCAATCCCGCCTCTATCTTCGGCTCTCGGCACTTTTGGGGGGGGTGGGGTCTCGGTACTCGGGACAAGCTACGGCACTACCTTTATAACTAAGTAAACAAGAGATGCTTTAGGAGCTCGGTAATAAATCATGTGTAAGCTCGGAGCTCCCTATATAACTCTCTCGTGCTTTGTGGTGTCTTCTTTATTTATCTACCAGGTGACTTCCCGTTTCGCGCTCGCAACAATTTTCTCTCCTGTGCTCCATTATACCATTCCAACAAACCAAATTTTCGGTTGTTTAGCTCAACTTGCAAGTAAAAGAACACAATTTCGACAGCCATGACAACATTTCCAGTCTCGGGAATCCTGGTGGAGGCCGAGGCATTCGATAACTTCGGTGGCTGGGTTCTGGACTCCCAATTCGAGACACAGATGGGCTCACCCTATCTGTTGGCGCATGGCAACGGTAAACCCGTTGAAGATGCCACGACTGTAATCTCTATCGAGGAGGATGGGGACTATAATGTCTGGGTTCGCGCTAAGGACTGGGTTCCTGGTCATCACCCGGGGCGGTTTACACTTGCAATTAACGGGAAGACAATGAGTACTGAATTCGGAGCAAATGACCAAGATTAGAATTGGCAACTGGGAGGCAGGGTTAACCTATGCTCTGGCAAGACTGAGCTGATACTGCACGACTTGACTGGGTTTTGCGGGCGTTGCGACGCGATATTCCTCGGTCGAGATGATACCCCTCCGCCCAATGAGGTGAATGAAGACACACGCGCATGGCGACGAAGCCTTCGTGGACTGCCTGACGAGCCTGACGAGCTAAGTGCTTTTGATGTTGTTGTGGTTGGAGGTGGAGTCACAGGTGCCGCAGCAGCGTTGACGGCGGCCAGGCTAGGAGAACGCGTGGCCCTCGTCCAGGACCGACCCGTACTTGGTGGAAATGCGAGCGTGGAGATCGGACTCAGCCCTCGCGGAGTGACTGGGCCTCTTATAGACGAAATCTCGCAGCGAACCCCGGAAGGTGACTTGGTTGCCATCCAGCTGCTTCGTGCTGAACCGAATGCAACAGTCTTTCTGGAGTCTACCGTCTACAACACGGTCACTACAGACTCCAATATTGTCTCAATTGATGCCCGTGATGCTCGAAGTGGCCGAGAGATCCGTTTCTCGGCGCCGGTATTCATCGACTGCTCAGGAAAGTGTATCTTGGGATTGCACTCAGGCGCAGAGACACTGTTTGGTCAAGAATCGCAGACAGAATATGGAGAGAGTCTCGCACCAGCACATGGCGACAACATGGATCATGGAAACACAACCTTCTTCCGCACCCGGATGGCGGAGTCGGCAGTTCACTTCCCACCTGTTCCATGGGCTATTGAGGTGGCAAAAGACTTCTCTGATCTACGCGGCCAACTGAGGACCCCGGGTCGTGAAAACGGACCTGGCCCCAATGTTGTGCCTGCCGGATACGTCCCCGATCCCACGATTAAGCATCGTATGAAGGGGCCTCTCACCCACTTCTGGGAGTATGGTCAATGGCTCGATCCATACACCCAAGCTGAGCACATTAGAGACCATCTGCTCTGTGCAATCTACGGCACTTTCTCCAATGTCAAGACAATGGAGCCTGAGACCTACGCCAACCTCGAGTTCGACTGGGTCGCATTTGTGCCCGCGCAGGGCGAGTTCCGAAGATATAAAGGTGACTACATCCTTACCGAGACGGATATCCGCACCCACAAGGAGTTCCCGGACGCCGTGGCAAATAACGGTGGAGCATTTTGTCTACACTACCCAGGTGATAAGAAGTACGATTTCCGTCTGAAGGCTTGGGAATGGGATGAAAGAGATGGGAAAACTTACGACATTCCATTCCGCACCCTTTATTCCACGAACGTCTCCAACCTTATGATGGCCGGTAAACATATGAGTGCTACTCACGTCGCGGGCTCAAACACCAAATTCATGGGCAACTGTGGACAACATGCTATCGCGACTGCAGCTGCTGCTCACTTGTGCCACAAGTACGACACATCGCCTCGAGGAATCTACGAAAACCACATTACGGAGCTACAGAGCATCGTCGTATCTATCACTGGACCGGATGCCCCTGTTGCACCAAGCCGGTTGTGAGTTCTAGGGAAGGACAATGGACAATGTACAATGGGCGTAGGAAACCTACTTGAGTGTGTTTTAAAAAAAGATATATACACTGAATAAATGCTTAGGAATCAATGCTGCAAGCCCTTTCATGCAACTTCAATAAATCAATTTTACAGTGATATCAGGAAGCCCCCATAAAGCCCGCAGCACTTGGCAGAATGTGGAAACACAAGCCTGGCGCGGAGGAGATAAAACAAATAATCTCGTTGATTAATGTCCCTGTGATCTTTAAGGTAAAGCAGATTGCTTTATCTAAAGATCAAAGTTGATGACCCCTTACTGATTGCATCGAGAAGTATTATCCGCATGTCTAAACCCCGACAAACCTTAGTAGCCTAGCTTCTACCAACATAGCCTTTATCCGGATTTCATATTAAACCTTTTTAGAATGTTCATTACAGATAACTTAAAATGGGTAGAGATTAGAGGTTATATGGATTTCTGCTGATCTGATAGAGAATATTATATCATGGAGTCATGTCATTGAGCTTCTCTAATAAATTGAATTATTACCACAAGCCCTTGCTGTGCTTGCATATGATCGTCGACATGTCGGATTTCTAACTCACAATCCAGGGCCTTCTAACGGTGAGCTCAAAAGACGCAAATAACACTGTTTAGGTTGGTGGGTTAAGTTGTCCTCCGCTTGGTATGAGCTGAGATTCTCTGGTGCAATTTTCAACTCAAAGTTCCACAAAAGAAGCACCAGAACGATCTTCAGCTCGAGGTACGCCATTCGCCTTCCAAAGCACCCTCTTGGCCCAAGACCAAAGGTAAGAAGTGGTCCCGATGTAGAGTCAAAAGACTCCTTACCATTTTCGTTGGTAATCCACCGTTCAGGTATGAACAGGTTTGAATCCGCTGGATCCCACGAACCAATGGATCCCTTCGCCTCCTGGCAGGTCTTGCTGCGACGCTCTTCGGGAATTTCGCTTATTGGAGGCTCAATGAAGTCAGGACCGTTTCCCAAGAGGAACACATTCGTGCCTTTAGGGATGTGATGTCCGAGAATAACAGTATCAACCATGGCCGTGCGAGTTACCAGCGGTACTGTTATGGATTTCCTGATAATCTCCTGTTGCGTAGCGTCAAGATATGGAATATGAGCCTTGGAGATCTCCTCTGCCGTTGGTTTTCGGCATTCTGCAATCGCTGCGGGGAAACCGCTACGAAGTGCTTCACGAAGCTTCTTCTGTATCTTTTGGTGATCCGAGAGAAACTTGAGACCCCATGTTATGGCCGTGGAGGTCGTATCGTAGCCGGCAATCAGCAGGCCAAAAAGCTATACCTTCAATTAGCGATACATTCCAGAGCCAAGTAACAAGTGTGATATCACCTCGTCGAAGATTGTTCTCGTATTGTAGGCGGGTTCTCGATTCTCTTTCTCTGCAGTAGCAAGCTCACGACGCAGGATATCATCTATGGCACATCTCGCAAACTGCTCCTCTTTTGCTCCTATAGACAATCTGGTCTTAGCCTTCTCAAGCTCAGTGGTAATCATCGTCTCCTTGGCTGCTCTTGCCCTACGCATGTTGGGCAGCAAACTCACGAGCCAAAATGTCAGTTTTGGTATTGGTGATATAGCAAGAAATTTTAAGCTCTCTGTGAGTGTGAGAATAGCTTTGGGGGCGCCTGATATAGGGGCATCAGGAAAAACAGCGGGCTCATCTATGCTACTAGGTGATGTGATGTTGATGCTTGCTGTGCTAGCAATGAGCTGTCGTTGAGCATTAATGACGCTGTCCTTGGGGTCGAGAGAAAATATAACAGCAAAAATGACATCTAACGCCGCTTTGTTTATATCACCCGAGGCGGAAAAGGGATGGCCATTTGCCAAGCGAGCTTTTTTTGCCCAAAGATTGACGAGCGAGGTAAAAGCCTCATAGATACGGGGCGCCGAAACCTACTATAATCAGCACTCTATTACTATCTTAATCAGAACAGAGAAACACAAACTTCGTCCAAGAAGGCCGGGGTCATCAAATCTTGGATCAACCTCCGATGCGCCTTAAATTGAGGGTTTGTCGTCTTCATTGAAATATGATGATCAGGTATCAAGCCTGTGAACATGTTTCCCACATGGTCACTCCGGTCAAACTCCTTGGTCCTGCGTAGTAGGATATCATGGCTCTCTCTGGACTCAGCGAGGATGACCCATGGTTTTGTGAGAGGGTTTGCAAAGATTTGAACGATAGGCGAGTTCAGCCTTTTGGCTTGTAAGGGTAGCCAAGACAACTTCTCTCCAGTCGTTTGTGCGTGTTCTATCAATGCAGGTAGATCCCCCAACACATTATTTTTCGCTTCATGGTTATACGGAATACCCGGGATTGGACGAGGTAAAATACACCTGTATCCCAGGGAGAGGGCAGTTAAGAAAGCCCCCAAAACGAGACTAGCAAGCAAAAAAGCCATTATATCGAATGAAGAAGGAATAAAGGTTGAAATCTAATCTATGTTTAACGAGAAATAGAAGGATGTTGAAGATATTTAAACCTCTGAATATGGCACCAAATCTTATCTAACAACGAACACGAACATGTGGGCACATCTTCCGTGTATCAAGTTTGCATAAACAGTGTTTATTGAAATTCAGTGCGTTATAAAGTGGGGTTCTGTGCATAATCTCTTTCGAAATATAGCATAGTCGATAGGTTACTATTCACTCCCATGTCATGGCTGAGAACTCGTGTGCCGGGGCGCCAGGGCCCCGGGGGTCAAGTCTAGTGGAGGGGTTGGATGCCTGAGGCCACACAATAGCAGATTGCAAAAAAAAAACGTATTACGAGAATACAATTTGCTGAGTTCTCTCTACCCAAACTAAAAAAAAACTCCGATGCAGCCCGGATAGAAAATTTGCATAGTATATCGGGCTTACATCGAGGCAAGTGACCTACCTATTCATACTCTTAGATATCTGTGAATCTATTTCGGGGTATGGTTGTAACATCACTTTTCATCCACGAGGTTAAATGTTCGGTTTTATTGTTGGTTTATCAAATATCAACACTTGCCATAAGCAACTTGGCATTGCAACTTGATATAACTTTCTCATGGAATATCACTACGAAGTACTCCATAGTATAGTCAAGGTTGGGTTCACGAATCATAGGCCATCTATTCCGCGGGTTCGGGTCAAATCCGGTCCAATCACACGCTTTTGGTTCCGCGTATACTGTACGGGTTAAAGTATCCACAAATAAACTATTCTAGTTAGCAACATGATAATGCTGCGGATCCATTGTCACTGCCCTTTTTCAGTTTCTAACTCATGCCAACCAATGAAGGCTCTCTGATGCCTGGTACTCCGTATTTCAGCTCGAGTTCACCCCATCGGGCGGATCTAGCTGGGGCTCCTCTAATCTTGGTACGAGTCAAGGATATGTCCTATTTCCTGTTGTTTTCGACACGAGTGGGGTTTTTTTATATTCAAAATAGCACATGAAGCATCCCTTTAGTTTCGCATCTAGGTACGAGATCCACAAATAGTTAGCTTGGTTGCCAGGTGCAAGCTTTGACCGAGGGGCATGCTACATATAGACACGAAACATACAATGATGCGCCTCCCATTTCCACATCGGTGCCAGCTGGCAGAACCTCCAAAGTTACTGCGTCTGAGTCGATAGGGTTGCCCTGACACATTTTAAAATATGTGCAGACCCGGTCGGTGGCACCCGCGTCGCTGGTGACCCAGTACTTGTGGCCCCACTCGCCGCGGAGGATTTCGGTTAGGGTATAGGCATCTGAGACTGAAGGCATTCCATCATAGCTGTATAGAATTAGTGAGAGAGCGTAGCTAGAAAGGTAAAATAGGACGTACGAGTGATAAGCTGACATGATGCTCCATGCTCCTGCGTCCACAATCGGACGTTTGAAGGCCGGCATCCATCTATCAATCAAGCGGAGATCAGCTCCAATCTCCACGGGAGGGGAAGATAGTATTACGTTGTGTGCAACCCCCTTTCACCTCCATGGACCGGACCAGTATTCAGACCTTGTTCAGGATCACTGTAACCGATGAAGTGCTTGACAGTTGCCTAAACATTCCGGCTTTGGAAGGCCAACAACAATTGCGTATGAGAGTTCCCCGGAGAGATATGGATCTTCAGTGAAACCTTCCTTCACCTGTGTATCATTATCTTTATCAACACGTAATTGAACCCCTCATTTTTGAGAAAAGTTACCTACCCTTCCATATCACAATTCCCGGGCGAGGTCAGAGACTGGCGTAAATATCTGGCTGACACCAATAGCCGCAGCTTCCTGAGCAACAACGTGAGCCATTTTCTCGACGAGCTGCTATGAGGTTAGCAGAGGAACTCTCCAGGGTGATGGTGAATGTACTTCAGGATCCCAAGCACAAGCGTATCCAATCGGAGAGTTGAAGATCGTAGCATTGACCAGCAGAAATCCGTGAATACTTGAGTCGGTTTTAGCTTATTTTATAAATATTTGCGTCATGACGGACCTTCAGATTGAACGATAGCCGGAATCCCAAGTCGAGTCTTATTGACGAGGTAGTCTTGAGCTCTTTGAATGTTTTTGCTGATCCATGACCCAGGTGTCGGGTAGCCAACTATGAAGCAAAAGTTGGTCAGTGTTGACTACAATACTGGGAGCACGACTACCTACCGTAGAAACTTCCAGCTTTGAGAGCCATATTCTCAATGAGGCCGCTCTCATTGAACGCTCCAGTGGTTGAGTTCATCCAGTTTGCAATATCACCATTTTATTGTTGAGTAAGTGCCATGTTCTCCGGTTGCAAGCATGCAGAAGAACTGTGTATATCTCTGCGATATCGAACCCTGGATTAATTGAGCCGTCTTCTCTTCGATGGTCATCCGGGAGAGAAGATCAGACACTCTCTCCTCCACTGGAAGGGACGCATCCTTGTAGTTCACCGGCTGAGGTGAGGCCGCTGCAGCTGCAGCTGCCAGGACTAAAACAGCAAAAGAAAAGAAAACCACCATAATAACGAGGATACAGCACAACGGTGAAGGATTGGATGTTTCAACTCGAAAATAAGCTGTTCATGCAATTGACTCGCTCAGGACTTTATGGATATATAATACACTGTCCTCATGCTGCCTATAATATATACGAGGTTGAGCTCTCCACTCCCAAGACCATACATCCATTCACCATTGGTTAGTAAAAGGATGCGAGGATCAAATACTGAACAGCCTGAAATTTCTTGAAATATACAAGGCGGTTAAATTGGATAAATTGCCAGTGGGACCTTGTAGATCAAAGGCCATTCTCCACTTTCTAGGCTCCCGTTGTGGAGACGGTAATTAAGCCACCTTGAAACTTAACCACGGCTCGGTGTCTCGGAAATTCCAAGGTGGTTTGTTACATACACAGTACCTAAGTATTTACCGAAGCGCCGAGTTGATACTTAACCTAAACCGGACAAGCCACGTATAGACTTTTGGTTTAGTGTAGATGTGGTTGGCGTTCCAGGCTGCTCCGGGAGAATGCGGAGTGAAGAGATGGTCCCCACCGGGTCTGACAGAACCGGAGTCTGCATGCCATAGAAAATGCCATTCCATGGAGCCCTCTCACCACGAGGACTCCGAAAAATTGTCCAGAAGTCATTGTTGCTCCGGTAGACTTACAATTAGGCAGAGTAAGCGCACCTAGTATGAATACTTCGAAGCAAGGGAAAAGGAATATGAGACGAAAGAGATCTACGAACGATGTAAACTTGTAGCTGGTCGGCTCAATCCTACGATCTTCATACAGTCCTCACTGTGTATTCATAATTAGAGCCTTACCCCAAATATTTGTTGCAGCTGAAATATTTAGGGGTAGGCCCTTGGTTTGTGTCGAATAGGTTGGAAACCGGGCATTGGGGACCTCCAAATTGTGATTCCAAATAAAAGGGCAAATTGGGATTAGTCCGATTATCTAGTGAAATTTGTGTTCGAGTCATTTTAGTTAGAGTTATGCATATTCATTGATCATACCATACCTTACTATACACCTAGATTTCTCTCACTATCTACTACAGGCAAACATGATCTGTCCTCTCGGTTGCCTAGGAAATCAGCCACCTAACAAAGTTTTGACTATTGACCGTTGCTTGCTTCTGAGACATCGAACCCCATATTCATCATTCAGACTTTGCCCTTCTGTCATCTGGTGAAGAGACAAGCGTCAGGCGATATAACCAACGAGAAAATCTCATACTGGGCTTATCAACAGCCCAAGTGACAAAATTCGCCAGCCCAAACGTCAAAGGTATTAGGATGATCTGCGGAACCAAAAAGGCTGTTTCCATACCCAGTGGTCCCCAGCTTGGCAGAGAGAATACTTCCACTAAGGGTTCTAAACAGCTATGTAACACCGGACCCCTCTCAGTCCAACCTACTGCTGCGTAGAGCGTGTCAGCAAAGACACACATCACGGGCCCATGCACCAAGTATAGACTGTACGAGATGCTGCCCAAGTACTGGCTGAAAGGTCTCTCAAAGAAACGAATCAGCCATGGGATACGCTTGATTGAGATGATGAGAAGCGCGGCCGCTGGGAGAAGGTAGTGCCATTTCGGGTCGTAGGCCAGATCCATTGAAGGTGCAAGAAATGAGAGAATAAACCATCCTGGATTGTCCCTGATACATGCGGCATTGGCACAGTGTGGGATACCACCGAGATACATGCTGAAGAGGATGACAACGAGGGCAAGAGTGGGAGCACTGGAGCATGGAAATAATGGGGCTTGTCGCGTGTCTAGCCATTGCTCCACCTCCTGAAGCAGCATTCCCGCCATGAAAAAGGACAAGTACCATCCATCACGAACAGTGTACATGAAATATGCAATCAGCATGCACTGGCAGCTAATTCGAGCCCTTCGGGATGATTGGGAAAGTGCAAGAAGCGTGGTGTTGTTGGAAGGTCACGTGACCGCCACTGTTTGCTCCCAGTACTTTAGTCTTAGCATGTAGATAGTTTCTCTCTCTCTCCACGCATTAAGAGATTTCCAGTTACATCTACATCTTCATCGTAGATCTCTAGTATCTCTAACAGGTTATGAGCCTCGTGTTTTCGAGTCCTCTACATTACTGTACAGACTCGAAACCCTGGTTTTCCTCCTATTGGTGTACTGCGTCGCACCACCCCACTGTGGAACCTCTGTGGTCTCGTTTTGACCCCACAAATCAGAGTTTTCATCACCCAATCGGACGAGATTAACACCTTGTCCACTAGGATCTTCATCTATTGCAGGTAGATCCTACCTCGTCGCCGTCGAATCACGTCGCCGACAACCCTCGACAACCCGAAAATCGGACCGTCGAACCCCACATTCCACTTGCTACCCGCTGTAGCAAGCCAATCATACCTCTTTGACAAGCACATCGGTGCGGAAGAAGACGTCATAGAGCCCTCATACCATCTGAAGGACTTCGCCATCAACAGCCACGAGATTAACATCTCGTCGGCCGTCCCAAAACTGAAGGGACAATCCAACTACAGAGACTAGGAAACCGCTCTCTACATAGCTCTTGCAGCTAACAACCGTTACTACACATACATGATTTCCAATAGAATCCCAATGCCAAAGATCCCCGAGTATCAGGACTCCAATCCTGATGCTGTTCGCGCTCTTCTCGTCGAGGAAGCTCAGGACCTTACCGGTGATCACACAACTACAATTGTTATCTCTGTTTCTACTATTCGTGAACGCGTGAAGGAGATTATTGATGCAAACGTTGTACTCCGAGAGCAGTATAACGAGGACTATACAAACTAGGATCTGTGCAATTCGAGAGCGAATCTCCTACTTAGGGGTACCCTCTCTCCTAAACCCTTTTCTCTTATTGCTCAGAGCACTAATATACGAGAGACATTTAAGAAACTGCGTGCGACATACGCTGCCTTATCCCACCAACATTCATATGCTCGCTACAGCAAGTGGATAGATCTTCGCTTTAAGAATAGATCTGCTAGCGAGTTTATACGCAAGTTCCAGAAAGCTCTTCGTAATCTTACAACTTCTAATGGCAAATTAAACTCGGGATATATACTATGCCAGTTTAAGAGAGCTATCTCTGAGAACCCCAAGTATAGTGCTTTTCTCCAGAACCTAAGGGTCGATGAGAGCGATATCAATCTTATAGACAAAGTCTACGCCGAGTTCCTCGAAGTAGATATCCATATTAGGTCCATAAATCCTTCATACAATGCAAACTCGACTACTATTCAAACCTCATCGTCGTCCCACAATAACAAGAAGAAGGACACGAAGAAAGGAGGCAACAATAAGCAATCTAATTCCAATAACAACAAGGACAAATCCTCGAAGAAGAAGACCGACTTCGTCAGAGAGGAGAACGTCATCCTTTACAGGCATCATAGGACTCTTAGAAACCACTATTCCAATAAGTGTCCCTTACTGAAGAACTCGGCGAATGCCACTACAATTCAACAACCTCAGCAGCAACAATCCCCTTTTCAGCAGGTTACAGTCCCTCAACCAGGCCAAATCATAGGTCAGGTTAACAACCAAGGCCGGATCCTTTCTCTGCCGCAACAACAGCCTCGTCCAAGGGCTAATACAGTCTTTGCGCCAGCATCCTACCCCACCGCACCGCAGCAAGGCCCTCCCTCAGGGGATCCCCTAGTACGGTATAACAACCTCTTTACAAATACGCTCTTTACCGGTATCCAGGCAGATGCCGTTCATAGCTCTCATATTATATCGAAAGAAGGCCTCATGGCCAACGACAACAACGATGTTACACGCTAGATGATCGATTCTGGTACCAGCACACATATAACCCCCCACAGATCTGTCTTTGTCAACTTTAGACGATGTGTATTGCCTGTTTCGACAGCCACTAGGGACGTCTTTTACACTGAGGGGTATAGGGATATAATCCTACACTTACTGGATCAAGATTCGTCAGGACAAATAGCCCCTCTCACTCTCCAAAAAGTATGGCTTACGCCAGATCTTCGCTCCAGCTTAATCTCTATATCTGCTCTCGACAAGGTAGACATTAGCACATAGACAAAGAACGGCATAATAACATTTAAACATCAAGATCTCTACGGCCCAAAGTCTACCATTAGTTTTGCTACCTATAAAGGAGAGCATTACTAGTTGAACTGCGCTGGTATCGACAAGGTTGATCATATACTTGATTGTAACCTTGTCACTAGCTCTCCAAACTCTGTCTTTGCTACACAAAGTGGAATCACACCCATCTCCATCGATCTGGCACATCGTCGGGCTTATCACGCCGGCGAGGAGCGTATACGAAAGATAGAGACATTTGCTAACAGCGTCAAGCTAAAGAAAGGCGCCGGCGTCACCTTTCCCTATATTCCTTACATTAAGGGTAAGGGCCACGCTTTACCTTTTAGCAAAGAACGATCTATTAGATCAAAGCCTAGCGAGTACATTCATCTAGACGTCTAAGGACCGATCTCTATCGCGTCTCATGGAGGTAAGCATTATTTCGTAACATTTACAGATAATGCGACTCGATTTACATGGCTATTTCTGCTCAAATCTCGAGCTCAAGTTACCGAGGTCTACATACAATTAGAGACCTATTTGAAGACTCAGTTTAACTACACAGTCAAGAAGGTTCATGGCGACGATACCACAGAGCATAAACCACTTGCTGCTTACCTTGCTAGCAAGGGAACGGTATGGGATCCAACTCCACCCTACACCAAGCAACTAAATAGTGTCGCTGAGATCAAAAATCGTTATCTTGTTAAGCCCTTAGTCGCTATTATAACCGAGTATCAGCTTCCGAAATACCTTTAGGGACTCCTTCTTAGTGGAATCAATTACACCATAAATCGTCTCTACGCGTCGAAGATTGGCATATCTCCTTACGAAGCGTTGTTCGGCAAGAAGCCAAATCTCTCAAACCTTCATACTCTCGGTTGTCAATGCTAGTTTCTCATCCCAAAAGAGAAGCGAAATACAAAGCTAGATCCTTACATAGAAGAGGCAAGGTTGCTCGCTTACGACAAAGGAGACAACTATATGGTCTACAACGTTCGTACCAAGAAGATTAAGCGCTCACGGAACGTCATTTTCAATGAGAATCCATCTCCGGCAAGTCTGCCTGACCCTGCCTATAATCTTAATATTACAGGCATAAACCAAGATCATAAACATAATTCACAGGATCGTCATATCCCAATCGATTTCCTACGGCCTCACCTCGAGAATCCGTTCAACATACAATCTACCTCCCCACCCTCTCCTACCGTCGAAGATAATCCTAAGGATCAATCGCAAACGAGGGCTCCGAATACTCTCGACCCGTCGAATCCCGCGCTCTTTAAAGAAGATCTTACATAGTCAAACGATAAAATAGCGGGTAGTTTTAGCAGGTATATAGTGGAACAAAGGGAGGATATTGGTGCCCACTTTAAAGCAGGTAGGCGAGGGGTTCTCGTCGAACCACAGCCTATTTCCCGACAGGTTATTAATATAGACATTCCCTTGGAAACAACTATTAATCTATCCCAAGATCCTCTGCCGGAAGGCAAGGATCATGATTAATCACCATCATATCATGATCAATCACCATTACAGCTTAATCAAGCAATTTTTAAACATAATTTCTCTCACCTAGATCCGGTACCAGATAACAGGACTCGAGATCGAAGCTATATTCAGCCCATTCAGCCCATTCAGCCAGAGACTGGCCAGCTACAACAATCAACAAGGATCAAGAAACCTAGCAGAGCTTACATTAAAAGCCTAGCTAGCAAGTCATTCTTTAATTCTAATGTCCTTCGGCTACTCGCTGAACAGCCAGACATCTTAATCAGTCTCTTCGCAAATACTACCTCGAATGAGCAGTATACTATATCCAAATTGACGCCTAAGGACATAGGCTTTAAACCTAACAGCTGGGAACAAGCTATATCCTGTGTCGAGAAAGACAAATGGCTGGTTGCTGCTCACAAAGAACTACATCGTCACCTTATTAACGGCACTTAGAAAGTGATGTCCAGGACCAAGAGCAAGAAGAAACCTCTTACCCTTCGATAGGTGTTCAAGGTTAAGCATAACGGTACCTATAAGGCACGGCTTGTTGCTCGTAGCTTTCGTCAAGTCAAAGATCTAGATTTCTACGAAGTCTATACCGTTATCGCTAAGCCGATATCTTTCAAGGTTTTCGCTGCAGTTGCTGCGGCAAAAGGATGGTATCTACATCATATAGATATTATTACTGCCTTTCTCTACGCTGAATTGAAGGAACCAATTGAGATTGAACTGCCTGAGATTCAAAGAGAAGAGTATCCTGATCATATTGGGCTGCTGATGAAGACGATCTACGGATTGAAACAGAGCCCTCGGGAATGGTATTCACTACTCCATGATGTCCTGGTATCTATAGGGTTTGACCGTACCCAGTCAGATCACTCTATCTTCGTCAAAAGACAACATGGTGGTTCACCACTCTATGTCATGGTGTATGTGGATGACTTGCTAGTCCTTTCTCCATCGGAAGACGCTATTCAACAGTTCAAAAGCGCTATTTCAAAGCACTTTGACACTTCCGACAAGGGCAAGCTTCAACGATATCTCGCGATCAACGTTCACTATGCTAATGGCATCATACACTTGTCGCAAGCCGACTATGTTGATAAGATCCTCGTCCGCTTTAGTCTTGAAAACTGCAAGCCAGTTATTACGCCTATGGATAAAAAGCAAGCTTTAATCCCGTTCGAAGGCACTGCAACGAAGGGACAGATACATGAATACCAGACGAAAATCGGCACCTTGATCTGGTTAATAGTTTCTACCAGGCCAGATATCTCATTTGCTGTTATTAAGCTGGCTAAACACGCTAAGAATCCTAGCGACGCACATTTTCAAGCCTTGAAACGTGTTTTTCGCTACCTCACCGGCACTAAATAGCTCACGATCTCTTTCCACCCTAGCATACAAGATGCAGCTATATGTGGATACTGTGACGCCGATTAGGCTGGCCCACACAGCGAGAAAGGACTTTCCACATCTGGTTTCTTGTTCAAAATGGCTGGCGGAGCTATTTCTTGGACGTCGAAAAAGCAACCCTGTGTTGCTCTGTCTACTACCGAGTCAGAATACATCGCCGAGTCTCTCGCAGTACAGGAGGCAATCTGGTTAATCCAGTTGCTTACGGAGCTTGGAATCGAAGGGTTTCTCAGCAAGCCAATCCCCATTTATGCGGATAACAACGGAGCTATTGCTCTCGCTTCCAATCCGGAATTTCATGCTGCGACGAAACACATCGCCATCCGTTTCCACAGGCTGCGCGAAGAGGTTGCCGCCGGCAACGTCAAATTTGTCAAGATCCCGACTGCCGACATGGCAGCGGATGGACTGACTAAACCCCTTGGCAAAACGCTATTCAAGCGCTGGATCATCCAAATGGGCCTCACGGTCTATAAAAATGGTTGATTTACGGTTTGCATACTACAAATGGGGGGTTATTGAAGGTTACAAACTGGTTTTTAACATGGAGAATTGGGGTTGTTTAAACTATGCTGCCGACTAATGGTACTAGTCGTGGGGGGTGTTGGAAGGTCACGTGACCGCCACTGTTTGCTCCCAGTACTTTAGTCTTAGCATGTAGATAGTTTCTCTCTCTCTCCACGCATTAAGAGATTTCCAGTTACATCTACATCTTCATCGTAGATCTCTAGTATCTCTAACAGGTGTATATGACTAGGGATCCCTTTAACTCAACCGGGATCGACCAGAGATGATCATTATAGCTGAGCCATGAGCTTCCAAGTCTGCTGAAGGGAAAGCCATAGTCCATCACCTCCGCAAACCACATCTTAAGCTCATCCATATAGCGGTCTTGTGGTTGGATCCACCGGATACGGAGGCCGAAGGCATGCCAAGATGTCATGTAGACAAAAGTGGTGGCGATGAGAGGAAGAAACAATCTCATCCATCTTCTGAAAGTGGCAGAAGACAAGTGGTTTGCGAGCAGTTCTATTCGCCTAGTCCGTATCAATTCCAATGGCCGGCGAGATATGACATATCCTGAGATGATAAAAAAGGTAGCCGTCGCATAGTGTCCTCCGTTGAACAGCAATCGGATCCACGGCAGGGTGATGAAATGGTAGTGCTCGTGGTACCCATATGCCCTCTCGATGATGTTGATGGCTGACCGATGAGCCCAGATTTCATGGTGGTGGAAGTAAACTAACACAGCAGCCCAGCCTCGTAAACCGTTCAGGTACGCGGTGTCGCCGTAGTGGGCCATTTTCCTATAGCATGCTTCTTTATCAGATAGTATCTCAAGCTGGCAAAAGTCAGAAATTGCCGGGCATCATTTGCTAATCAGATACCGAGTATGTTCCAGTCTTTTTGAATTAAATACAAAATCCATGTGATGAGGTGCTAATACCCTAGAAGTATTTCTTCCACCGATAAGGGTTGGAATTACCCAATCACAATCCCCACTTGATGTGAGACAAATTTTCAAATAGAGGTTGTAATAAACTAGGGATGTAGATCTTGGCTTGACGGGTGGCTAATCATACATTTGCGTTATTATTTCACCACCGTCGGTTATCCGGTTATGGCCTCCTCGGCGTGCGGGATACCTCCGCTTTAAAACGCCACCATGAAATATGTGGATCGGGATTTGGATCTCGCTGCTCCTGATAGTGGTTACTAGATAGGTATAGCACTGTCTCAGGGTATATATGAAATTCGTTCGTATTGCCTTCTGTATAGGCATAACTTGCTAAGAATCATATTCGACTTCCCCTAAAATAGGAAGGTCTAAATAATACAGCCCAAACATGTTCATTCCAATCTTGGTCCCAGACTTCACCGGCAAACTTGCATGCGCCATCCTCGGATCCCCTGTCCCATTCATGAACAGATTGCTCCAAAATACCGCATTGCCTTTCCTGGGTTTGAACAGAAGCCCCTGTCCGTTCTCTGTCCGGGAAAACTTGTGCCCATCTGCACTGGGCCCAACACCCTTCAAATCTGGAAAATACGTCTCCCCACCCGTGCAGTTGTCTTCAAGATATACGAAGCTGCTGAACAAACGGTTGAAGGGTCTGACTGGGCTGTCGGAATTGAAGGAGTTGGTCTTAGGTGCCACAAGCCAGTCCTGGTGCATGCGGAACCGTTCCCCACCATTATATTTTACGAGCTGAAGGGGCTCGGTATCGACATGTTGGAGATTCCCAAGGAATGACTTCAATCGGGTAGACAGACATTTTGATACGGGGTCATTCAATGAGATCATGGCGGATTGGGAGGTGCGGTATTCCTGGTCAACCTCAGATAGGAACTTGTCACCCCGGCGGTGGTAAACCAGGGAGTGATTCCAATTTTCCTTGCTGGCCATTTGCGTCAGCTGTACTTTCTCTGTGGATTCTTTAGTAATAAATCAGGGGGAGACCAACGTGGTTTCGAGGAGATGATTGATCTCTGCATCGCTGACAAAGTTATTGGCGTAAATCACCAAGGGGTCAAAGGACATGAGTTCGATAGTGTACTCATGCTTGCATTCGTAACCGTCTGGGAGATGGGCGGATGAGCCCCAAGAGGAGATCTCAGAGAGTACTCCTGCCTTGGAAACCCACTGTCCAATCTGTAGAAGGCTGAGCAGCAGCATACTGGTAGCAAAGAGGTAGTTTATCGCGGGCTTTGATGAGGCCTATTGTGATTGTCAGCGTGAGCGTTGGTTTATTAGGGTCATATGTTGAATCTACCATGTTGGGCTGTCTTGATTACAACAAAAATAGTTGAAGGCTGAGAAGCTCGGTCTCCTTTTATCGCTCACTCAGATAAAAGACACATCAACAATACTATGAAATGCCTGAAAACTGGGTTTTATTGAATTGTAATGGTAATGCTCATACTAGCCCAGACAACTAACTGCATCCTTGAAACTCTTGTCCCGGCTTCTAATTACATGATAAGAGGAACTAGTCAATTTTTCCATGCGCCAATGATGTGCCCGGATCTAAGAGACAGCCCGAGAGGGGAATGCCATCTTTGGCCCCCTTTTGAATTATCAGCAACCAACAATTATTCCTCCAGCTCGACAGGTGGTCTCCACTCCTTGTCCCAGCCCCAGATATTCAAGCCCACCTTGTGCCCGGACTTGACAGGAAGGGATGCGTGTCGAACGCCACGATGAAAAGACCCATTCGGATGCATATTCTCCCAAAACACCGCAGCCCCCACCCTGGGCTTGAAAGTGACACCACTGTATTCATCATCCTCGCAATCAATTACATTGCACCACCGTGAATCGTTCGGCCGCTGCAACCGCGGGAAATTGGTACCACCACCGGTGCAGTTAGCAACGAGATAAACCATGTAGGTCGTCACTCGGTTTCCGTCTTTGACGAGGATGTCCCAATCATAGTGGAAATTGTAAAACCCGTTGACTCCGTACCTTTGAGTTTTCATCTTCTGCATGTACGTGTTTTCTCCACGCCATCCTTGTAATGCGAGAGCCCGCTTTTCGACTCGAAGAACGATTTCGTCCCGAGGGAGGACAGCGGATTCTGACACCCGTTGACTGGTGTCGACATGTGATTTACCACCAGGATAGACCATTGAGGGTGTCCATCTACCGTCGCTATTTAGAAGTCAATATCAGTTGTCTTTCAAACAAGTTTGTAAAATGCCGAGGTCACAGAATAAACGGATAGGGGATGTACCTGATGTTGAGCAGATGATCGATCTCATCCTGGCTTACAAAGTTGTCGATGTACACAATCAAAGGGTCCCGAGAGAATACCTGAACTTGAAGGTCGGTGCTGATATGCTTGTAATTCCCAAGCAATCGACAAATATATGATGGAGACAGGTCCCACTTCAGATCACTGAGGATAAATGAAAAGAACCCGAAGAGTAGTATGGCGATAGTAAATCTTTGTGTTCTCAGGATATCCATTGTCATTATAATCAACCTCGGAGGATAGTCTGCCTGCCAGCTAGATATAGCATAAATGAAAAACGTAGTAGCGTAATTGCGTTTAAAAAATCCTGGTACAGAGCATCAAATCTTGAAATGGTTATATACCAAATTCGGTTGTACATACGCCTTCCGCCGTGAATCTGCAGTTAAGCTTTAGGGCGTTTCAACTTCTATTTAAGCAGGGGTTCGAAGGATTATGTGTTCTGGCTAGTAGTGTTGCAATGGATATGAACCCCTGTCTATGATTGAGGGGGCCAAATAAAGGTAATTGCATACCAAATTTCACCAATGGTGCCGATTTCGGCCGATAGTTGGTGCTATTGTTGCATGTGACAACGAGGAAGAGACACGCTACATTGATTTCGGGTTGATTTGCTAGGATCGTGTATAGTATTGTTGTTCGGAGGTCCAGTCGGTGGCCGCTCCATACTGTGGGGACAAAGGACAAGGTTTCTCTGCGATCTGTCATTGGTTCTGTTCCACCGAATGTCGATCATGGTTGAAGTGTGCTATCAGAATTATAAATCTTAATAATTCATTGGCTGAATGGTCCAGTACATAATAGGCAGATAAGGCAAGCTGTGAACCAGGATATATTAGCGCCTGATTTAGACTAGATATGCCACGAATGTAGAGCGCTGGGGCCGGGGGCGAGTGACATGTGAGGTTTTTTCTTACTAGCTGATGTATAGTGATGCTGGCATATCGGGATCCTGCCATCTATGGCCCCCTCAAAGCAGGCATCTCAGTGCACAGGAGAGGGGATCGAGACCAAGACAGTAATATTGCTATCTTTGAAAATTGGACCGTAATTCCGAACCCCATTACGACAAAGATATATAAAGCTGGCAGCCATGCTTTGATGTTATATCTAAACAACTTCTTCGCTTTAACCCTCATCTCATATAACCCTCAACCTTGAAATATTCCACAACCTCCAAAATGCAGTTTCTCAAGGCTTTTACTGTTCTTGCGGTCTTCGCTGTCTCCGCCGCTGCCGTGGCTACACCTGAAATTGTCAAGCTTCGTGACCTTGAAGAGCGTGCTGCCAACCTTGAGCTCGCTACTCGTGAGAAAGCCCTAGCGTTCTAGTCATGACAGTTCGAGGGAACCTTTGCTAATAATTGCTACTTAGCTCCTAACTCCCCTTCCGAGTAGATCGACTCAATTATCAGGGAAGGGATCCCAGCACGGATGGTCTGAAAAGCCGGGGGGGGGGGGCTTTGAAGTGTGTTGACCTGTTACAATGTCCATAGCTAGCTCACATTCATGAGAGCACATCACGTTCATTATCTGAAAGGACATAGAGTTACATCATGCCATGATTGTTATTCCCTTACAATGTAGCCCATCACTTGACGTAATGCTATGTTAGCGTGAAATTCCCACAATACATGATTACATAGATAGTAGCCTGGTATCCTACCCCCGTAATCGAAGTGTGGTCCCATCTGCTTCTGCAGGGGCCAGTTTTCCGTACACAGGACCCCTCTTTTCTGTTAAAAGACCCATCTCAGCTTCAGTTCAGCGTCTACCTATCCATCAACATTCACCCAGTAATCCAATCCAAGTGTTTACGGCAGACTACATGAGCAAAACCAAACAAAAATGTTTCTCCCGCAGCCCCTTCCGCGTGTCCTAACCACTGAAGAGATTGTTCCAGCGATGCACCGCATAATCAATGAATACAATACCATCCGAGCCCAAATCGTTCAAACCACTACTCCTACCACTGCAACGTTCAACAATGTCATGCTTCCCTTGGCGCAGGTTGAAAATCTTGTCCAAGGCGAGCTAGGCATGATTGACATGCTCCAGTATGGGTCTCCATCCCTGGCGACCCAAGGAGCGTTCGATGAGGCCAGAAAGCTGTACCACAAAGCCTCAGCACTGTGGACAGCAGATGAAAAGTTTTTCCGACTTCTCCAAGCGGCAAGAGACAAGCCGGATTTTCAGACGCTGGAAGCGGAATCGCAGCACTTGCTGGAGAAGGAGCTGTTGGAGTATAAGCATGCCGGACACGGCATCCTAGGACTTGCGGAGTTGGGGGAGTACCAGAAGTCGAAAATGGAGATTTCAGATCTAGAAAGAAAGTTTCAGCAGAATTTGGCCAGGGACTCCGGAGGGATGTGGTTTACGCTGGAGGAGTTGGACGGGGTGCCAGCAGATGAGTTGGCGAAGTGGAAGGATAATCCAGAGCAAGTGGCACTGATCAGTGAAAAGCACCAAGAAAAGAAGAAGTTCGTGCCTTTTGCAAATGGAGGAACGCTAGCTGTCTTGACGCATGCCCATTCCCCAGAAACTCGCAAAACAATGTTCCTAGCGGATAATTTGAAGCTGAAAGAGAACAAGCCGCTCTTGGAGGAAATTATCAAGCGCCGTGCCCATCAAGCACAATTCCTTAAATACACGACTCACGCGGAATTCAGGATAGAGAGGCGTATGGTGAAGACCACAGAATGGGTGAAGGAGTTTCTGGGCCAACTGCGGACAACGCTCTGTCCGCGTGGCCGAGGTGAGATTGCAGTATTGCAGAATCGACGCCTGGAAGATCTGAGAGCGAGAGGAAAATACAGTGATGGGCAAGAAAAGTCGGGGTTCCCTCCGTGGGAAAAGCGATACTATGAGCAGCTGGTGCAACGGGAGTTTGAAATTGACCAGCTGAAGATCTCAGAGTTCTTCCCCTTGGAGAGAACTGCAACCAATATGCTAGGCATTTTTGCCTCTTTACTTGGTCTTCGATTTGATTCCATCCCAGAAGAAAGACTGGCTGGGGATTTCATCTGGCATGATACTGTGCGAGGGTTCTCTGTATGGGATACGAGAGACGATGGGTTCATTGGATACCTCTATTTTGATTTATTGTGGAGGGAAAATAAGTATCGCGGCAACCAAAGCGTGAATATTCAATGTGTAAGAACAATCTTCCCGTTTTCATTCACTTTGTGCTTGCTGATGGAACGGATACAGGGGTATATACGGTCGGATGGAAGCAGACAATACCCTTCCACTATTCTGATGTGTTCCTTCCCGACTCCAACACCAACAAGTTGTGCCTTACTTAAACATCACCAAGTCGTCACTCTTTTCCACGGCAAGTACACACTCATACAGTCCCAATATGGATCATCTAACGGAGTCAAAATAAAGAGATGGGTCATGGGATCCATGACCTACTAGCCAGGACTAATTACATCCGCTTCCATGGCTACAGACTGCCACCTGACTTTGGTGAGATGCCTAGCATCATGCTTGAGAATTGGTGCTGGATGAAAGATGTCCTAGAGGGACTCAGCTGCCATTACACCACACTTGATGAGAATTATATGGCAGATTGGCGGAAACAACACCCCAGCGAGCCAGACCCGCCGAGAAAAATCCCAGAGGGGTTGGTAGAGAACCTTGTCGAACATCGGTATTTCAATAGGGGACTTTATCACTTGTATCAACTGTTTGTGGATCTTGAATGCCATTCCTACCATGCCGTCAGAAACTGATGATCCGAATTAGGTCAATATCGATCTTCGATCTACAGATACACTCACTAAGTACGGATAAGGAGATTACGGATCTCGATATCCAGAAATTGTGGTATGATCTCCGCGAGGAGATAGAGGGAATGGATTTTTCGGAATGTAGAAATGGATTTGCGTTTGGGACGTTCACTCATCTAACGGCTGGTTATGATGTTTGTTACTATGCCTACTTATGGTACGTGAGCCCCGTCTGTGACAGTAGCAAATGCTAATAGAACAAGTTGCACGGCCATGGCCCAGGATTTGTTCCTCTCTGTCTTTGCCCACGACCCATACAACAAAGATACTTGGGACAAATACCGCCGAGGAATTCTGGAATATGGTGGAAGGGAGCAGAACCTATTGTTAATGCTGGAGCGCTTTCTCGGACGACCCCCGAACATGAATGCCCTTGTGGAAAGTATATCACGGTCAGAAAGCCGGCGCTAGCAGGATAAGCGAGAATGAGAGGTGAAAAGACACCGGAAGGGAGGGAAGACGATGAATCATATAGGCGCTCAAATGGACTGGGCGAAAAGAGAGGGGACTTGGATTTGGCTGAAGGGGAACAACTTTCGACGTCGTTTTGGTCGCCAGTGGAAGCGAGGAGAACAACTATGTAACGGTTTAAATGAGATATCCCAGTACTAGTTGTCTGTGTCTGGCGGCCTTCCGATCCATCAACTCAGTCCGTGATTCCATAAAATTCAAACATCCCCTAAAAATGTCGAAATTCTCACCATGAGTCTTGCTGGATATTATCTACACAGTAACATCCTCCAACTGTCTAGCGGTTCCAACAGTTTCCAATTCTAAAGCCTTCGGGTGGAGATTGTCGTTCAGAATGCCTAATGCTCTTCCACCAAAGAGGAGATCAATCTCCTCAAGCGACTTTTGCTTGGTTTCTTTGAACCAGAAAAAGATCGTCGGGATGGTAACGCATACATCTAACTCATCAGTATCATCGCAAGGACATTTTAAGGGGTAACATACTCCATGCTGCGAAAATTAAATAGAACTTCCAGCCGATCTTACCCAGCGCAATGGGTGAAACCTGGCTCCATAGCGTACTAACTGTCCAATTCCCGATTCCCGTAGCAAATGCAACGCCCTTACCACGAATCTGCATCGGCATAACCTCGGACATGTATACCCAGCTAATTGATCCAAAGGACATTGAGAACAAGACCGTTACAGCAAAGAGGAAGAAGACTCCACCGATACTGTAGCCAGTCTTTGTCCCATCCTCGTTCTGTGAATTTAGGGCTGCTTCACAGACTAGTGCGATGGTAATTCCCGCGGCACCGAAGAGTAGAGGGCGGCGACGGCCGATGCGATCCAAGACAAAAGTTATGAAGAGAAGGTTTGTCAAGGGACCGACAACGTTGTAGATTCCGGTGACAAGGGTGGCTCGGCTCCCGGTAATACCTAATGCTTCATACCTATCCTAGGTCAATATTGGAAATTATGTCGATGGCAGAGGACTGACATGATATTTTGGTAGTAGTTGATAACGTTGATGCCGGTCATTTGGGAGAAAACCTGCACCAAGGTTCCTTGCCTGGCGAACTTTAGAACCCGCAGATCTAGTAAGGTGTGGGAAACTTACAACAACCGAGTCCGCCACTGCGGCACCTTGAACATGATTGTCCACCCAGAAGCCGTGAGAACCCGCTCAGCGTTTATGGTGGCTTTAATTTCGGTGAATTCAGTTTGAATCCATTCTATATTCGCGCCGTCATAGTGCAGGCGCTTCAGGATGCGTAACGCTTCATCATCTTGGTCTTTTTCGATCAGATGACGAGGGGACTCCGGGAGCCAAAACATTCCTAAGAACAACATGAATGCTGGAAGTGCCTGGAAAGCGAGTGGGAATCGCCATTGCAAGGAGCTGCTGTTGGGGGCATGAAGAGAACCATATCCAATCCACCTTATATGCATAAGTATTGTAGTCCAAACGGAAGGAAATAGGAACAACCAACGTGCTAACGATGAAGCCAACACCGATCATCTGTTGTGAAAGTCCGACGATCCTGCACACATGATATATTAGTATGCTGTTATTTTTTTGGTCTGAATGTTCTTACAAGCCACGATTTTTTGGATGAGCGCATTCGGCCTGGTAAACTGGAACAGACATACTGAGGATACCCACGGCCCAGCCAGCGACAATTCGACCAACTAGAATCATGACCAGATTCCGAGCAGCAGATTGGAGAATAGCACCAATAGTCGCCAATAAAGCGCCTAGCTGGATTGTCCTTCTACGGCCAAATCGGTCGATAGTCAAACCCGCCATGAGGGCACCAATGGCCGCTACTTTGCTGTCAATTCTTGCTTGATCATGCAAATTCTATGGTAGGAGACAAACCTCCTCCTGAGAATGTGCTGTTAATGGCGCCGATAATGGTGGATGCTTTGGTCGTATTGAAGAAGTTCAAAAAGTTTGGCGAGGCGATCACATCGGTCATGACACCTACAATATTAGTCCCATATTCCCCTCGTGCGCAGTGAGTTGATACAAAATACCAGAGTCATAACCGAACAGAAAGCTACCAGTTGCAGCAAATGTTGCCAATCCTATTGTGTATATTTTACCCATGGTGCTAGATCAAACGTGGGTCGAATTCTACAATGAAGTTGAATGAGCTAGGGAATCGCAGATCTTTTAGGGATTATACATCCTGGGAAATTTTGCAATATAACGAAATAGCCGAACGGCAAAAAAGGATAAATCAAAGAAGAACATACTTAGACTTCCGTCAGAAGTCCCTGGTAGTGTCTAGTATACTACTGTACGGAGTATAGAGAATGCAAGGGAAGAGGACCCGTTGGCGTGCGCTGGCTTGTATTTGGAAGGTCACGTAGGCCTCACAATCTTGCATTTCCCGTACCCATGGGGTTTCCCCGAGGCCCAGCAGGAACTCATGATTCCGGAGTTACGTGTTAGTACTTGAGTAACACTGCATGCATCATTGTTATCTTATTCAAGTTCACCAGGCATGGTAATATCCGTACAGACTAGTATTGAGAGATGTTTCTCCATTAGCGGAATCTCACACCCCTGCACTTCCGGTACTAGTTCAAATTAAATTACCGCACAAGCTAAATGAAAAATGGCTGGCCGACGAATATACCTGTTTCTGATTTGCATAGTAGTAATTTCCTTAGCTCTCAGTTCGTCATGGCGCTCGTGATGGGTTTTAAGTCTGCGAGTCGAAATGCAACGAACATTCTGGTAGGGTCTGATAGGGTGTATACTATAGAAATTGAAAGAAAAGATGTCTTCGGCGCTGAAACACGCCGGATAAAGCGCAAAATTTAGAGCAGGGATGACCACGCCCGGCTCACCAAGTGCTTTTATCCTACAATTTAGCCAAAATCTGGTGTCCTACTTTTGGAATGATGGGGAGGACTGTCAATCAATCAGCCAATCAATCAGCCAATCAATCAATCAAAGCTCAATTAACCTGTTGCAGTCTAACTAATTGCGTATGGCTATGCAGGCGCTTCTTCCAACTGAAGCAAGAACTCGAAGCCAGACGCTGAACGGGATCTCTCCCGAGGAGTATACAGATGCTGCCAATTAAAAAGAGCCCGGAATCAGCCCATTCCTGTAACCCGAATATCCCGTAAATGCAAACCCATACCCAAACCCATATATAAGAAATTAATAAATGATTGCAGTGGAGTGCACCCTCCACTTTCCAACTCCCACTTCTCGTTTCTCACTCCCGCTTTCTTTACAACCTCTGCTCTCCCCCCTGCCTCAGTTTCCATTGGTGGTGATGTTTTTAGTGGCCAGTTTATCAGCATGATTGTTATCCCTAGCTGAGTTTCTCGCTCCACAGCTTCGTTTTCGTCATTGGCTAGTACCCATTGTCTTCCACATCTAGATCCATTGCCGGAAGGCCTGTGATGAGGACTGTCTCAGGTTGCCCCAGCTAGTATGTTATTTCAAAGTCCCATAGCAGGTCAACCGGAGAATAAATTCGGTAGATAAATTGTAAGGTATTCCTATATCATGTCTATAAAAAAAGTCTTTCCTACGGGAATTAGACGTTAGAGCATAAGGCATAACAAAACAAGAATGACCGGAAGGGAAGAGCACTCAGAGGCAAAACTATGCCCTGGCTATTTTCATCTCATACAAAACAACAAGCGCAAATTTTCCGAACAGAAGTTTTCCCCTATTCATGATCCCACTTGGCATAGCAGACCAGTTCTCGGGTCATTGTTCCAAAGGTCACTACTATTTGTACTCTGGAGCACTAGCAGATCCAAGACCTCTCTGTATCCTGAACAACAACATTGTTCTAGCTTCCGGATCTTCAGAAGGCAAGGCCTGCTGCAGGCATGCATTTAACTTGTTCTGAGCAATCTCCAATGGCTCTCTCCGACCCATTAGCCGGCTGGTCGTCAAGCTAACAGCACCGGCGGTGTTGCTAAGCAAAGGATCTGTTTTGACAAATAACCAGTAGCTCTGGGTAGACGCAAGTTCAATCGAATTGTTTAGACTAAAGCCAATGTCTTTGACCCGGGTTGCCAGCTGGTTGATACTGGTGTCCGTATGCTCAGTTGTTACGTTCAAACCAATAAACTCAATCACTGCTGCGACGCCAGGTGGTGCCTCCTTGAGGCCTAGGGCCATTGATTTTGTTTTCGTATACGCGGTAACGTTGCCAAACAATCCACTATCCATAAGATCCAGAATGAGAGAAGCAACCTCGGACAAGGCATCCCAAGAGGCACTCTCACTCACATGAGACTTGCCGGCCGCATAGAAGGAAAGGCTCCTTGCACGGCATGTTGAGAGACGGGATGTGTCTTCGAACCAAATTTCGTCACCACTCCATATTGACCTCCACCACCACTGCGGACAGCCTAAAAGAGATATTTATTCTGTACACTGTTCACGACGAGAAGAGCCCCAGTTGCTTCCACTAACGCACACTAAAACATCAGCTGTCTCATTGCGATCTGGCAATAGCCAGGCCCGATAGCCTTTTATCTTTGAAAATGTGCGTTCTAATAGAAATTACGAATGCCCCAGTTGACCTAATTCAAAATGAGTGAATGAGACTTATAATTTTATTAGTTATTGAAATAACACACTAGTTGAGATAACATCCCGTACCTTTCACGGCATTGCGAATATTCCTTTGAGAGGCCTATTCCATTGCCGTCGCGACATCCTTCTCTATTATAGCGTTCACAACATATTATGGCAAGCCACCAATGCTACACCTTCTAGCAGACAGGGGTTTTTCAGCCAGATTGGAAAGTCAATACTCTTGGCAAGGCTGTATGGAATGCTGCATATGATCATTTATTCTGCAGGTGTGCGTCCTCGGGCGAATTGAAGGGGTTGCCGATATAGCAAGATTAAGCAATCGGGGCAGTTTTGATCAGAACTCCCCCAATAAACCGATTGAGAGCGCCCCATTCATCATAAAAAGGCCATTATGAATGAGCAGGTGGGATTTTGCAGTCTCGGCTACCAAACGAAGTGGCTGAGAGAGCTAATAGCATGGAAATAGCCTTATGCAAAGCCATTTGTGAAGTGTTTCAGTAAAATGTTCAAGTCATACAACCCAACCCAACACAAAAAGGGACATCTGATATTTATAGCACCTGTATCTAAGTATAAGGGTAAGGGTAAAATGTCTTAGTGACTTGGCTGAATCAATCGAGAGAATATTGCAAAGCCAACTACGAAAAAGCCTAGTATGTCAACTATCAGTACCATAATAGAGTTGCTAGCTTGACCCTGTGAATGTCCGTAACCTTCGGCCTGAACAAGATCCAAAAGATAAGTCAAAGCTTTAGTGGAGGTATATGAGACCTTGACAGTCTAGATGTTCGAAACTGGAGAGATTTATGTGAATCAGATTTGGATATGGCAACGAGAAAAGCTATTCTCCCCCTAGATACGCCCATGCTGTAATCAATGTAGACAAAATCTATATAATTAATACATAACCAGGATTAGTGCGTCTCTATCTTACATCATCCCATGGAATCAAATATAACCTAGGCTTAAGCCCGGCACATCCGTCCTGACTCAGACACAGACCAGACATCACTACCGACGGCCTTAAGGGCATAGAAGAACGAGGAAGGATCCCACTTGCGCTTGACAGCGAGCAGACGGGGATAGTTGCTTCCGAAGAAGGTCTGCTTCCAGTTCGGCTGGCGGAAATTAGCTTCATTTTGGTAACAACCGCTGTCCGGCGTGACAGCCTCGAGCTGAGGCACATATTCGGTTGTGATCTTGTCTTGGTCCGCAATCATCTTGGACCAAGGCGCGGTCTCATTCCAGGGTGTGCCAATTTGCATCGTCACGGCTGCGTTGCGCAGGGCTGGGAATACAGCGTTCGGGACGTTGACCGGAGCTGAGACATTCATCCCAACTCCGACGGCGATCACACCCGCCTGGGTCAGGTTGCGCAATGCTGAGCCAATCCCGTTGGAGTTATGCTCTAGGGTCTTGCGTGGAATCAGACGGCCGCCGTACTGGTAAGATCCCACGGCTAGGTTACCCCAAGGAAGAGGGCCCATGTACTTATTGTAGTGGCCATAGTACGAGTCGTGCTGGCTGAAGCTAGCCAGGTACTTAATGTTAAGCTTAGTGAGCGCCGATGTGAACGGTGCGAGGATGGCTTGGACGTCATCGGTGGTCTGATTGTAAGCTGTGACGGGGTTGATGGCGAAGAAGCTCGAGGTCATCTGGTAGATGACAGTGACACCTTGGTCGACCATGGCGGGCAAAAGAGAGTGGAACTGCGAGACAGCCTCGTAGAAGGTATCGGTGGTGATGTTGGCCGCGGTGAACTGAAGAGAAGCACCGGCAATGGGCGCGTCTTTGTGTGCCTTCACAACGATTGAAATGACAACACCGTAGTTACCGGCGCCGCCACCGCTAAGTGCCCAGTAGAGATCGGCATTCTCGGAGCGCGAGGCCTTGACTAGCTTTCCAGCCGCGGTGACAACTTCAAACTCCAGCGTATTATCGGCCCCAAGACCGAAGTTGGTGCTGAGGGCGGAGTGACCGCCGCCTTGGGTGTAACCACCAGCGAGACCGACTGTGGGGCATTCGCCAGTGACGACGACGAGGCCCTTGGCAGATCCAGCCTCGAGGATCTGGTACCCAACCACACCGGCACCAACCTTGAACGCAGGGCCCTGGTAGGTCGGGCTAGACCAGTCCTTGTACTCGATATCACTCAAGTGGTGAGTCCATACAGAAAGGGCACCGGCACCGGTTGAACGACCTAGATAACTATGTCATATCAGCATTGATCTGTAGAAAACTGTCGAGAAGACTAACTCATGGCCGGTGTTACGGATAACGAAGCGGATATTGTTTTTACGGGCAAAATTGACAGCCGCAATGACCTGATCGCTGGAAGAGACGTTCACGGCATAGTTCACATAGTTACCCAGGCGGCATGGCTGGGACTTGGCGGTGAACGGGTCGCAACTCTGGTTGGCAAAGTACGTCTGCATCACTGACGAAGAAGAGTCCAAACTGGTGGGTATTAGCGATGTCGATGTGGTTTGTCACAACCCAGCATCACTTACTGAGGCTCAGGGAGGTTCCAGCTCGCCTTGAGTGCTGCACAGGCGGCAGCATCGTAGTTGGGTTCATGGCAGGGGGTACCAATTGGCACGGTCGCAACCAGACGACCACCAACTGTGCTGTTGAGGGAAGCCCAAGCCGATGGAGCAGGCCAACAGCTATCACTTGGCAAACAGTGACAATTCGATGCAAGGGCCGGCGCGGCAATAGCCACGAGGGAAGCTAATGTCCACTTCATGGTGGAGGAGATGAATGGGATAAGGTTGTGAAAGAATTCAGGCACAGGTGTCGATCACTCTCTTTTATTTACATACTCCGTAGACTTAACATTGCTCGATAGCACATGGATCTCCAAATTCGGAGATGTTCCCTAGTATGTCTAGTCCGCTTAATTGTGGATAGAAGCATTTCACCGGGGTGGAACCGAGACACTACAGCATTGTTATATCCATGGATGTACGGAGTAGGTACTCCCTATATACTCCGTACATCATCCTCATTCAAGCGCGATCTACGTTGTACCGCAGTTATGATCCACACTAGCCGAAATCCGATGAATATTATTTCCATCATTCCAGGCATATGATAATTTTCTTTGCTTTTTTTATGTCACACACAACGTCTTTAATCTAATCTCGGGCGGCCGGCTCTTTAGGTACGACGCGGAAGTCCAGGACCGGCTAAGAAAAGTCGAGATCGGGTCCAATTTCTCAGTGTAACCCCAAATAAAATCCACCCAATCGGGGTTGTTCGTTTAACGCCACCACACCCCACACACCGTATTCCACCTCCAAGGCTTAGATTCATGTAATTACGGAGTACAATAGTCTGTGCGCGTTCAATAATGTATGCTTTAGTGGCTTGAAGCTTCCATCTAACAATTTTTGCGGATCAGGGGTATTTCGTAGGTAATAACCGATCTAGACAGTTAGATAGAAACAATTCATTGTATTTATTGAAGTAATAGACAGCATATGAACCAATTCTCGGCCCACAAATACAACATAGGCAGAGTTGGAGGGGAAATGCACAAAATTGCCTTGGGGAAGAACCCTTGTAACCATGAAACTTCGGTTGGAATGTTCTATTTCCACTTAAAGTGGAAATGATCGTCAAGAAAGAAAAGTAAAGTTTGCTCGATCCAAGGGTATGTCTCAACCAATCCATGGCTTGACCAGAGATCATCTTAGTTTTTGGACCAGAGAGTACGAGTTATTGCCCGCTACCTAATGAATCCGCTTAACCAAGGTTCCAGATACATGCTCTACCCGGGGTTCATGACCTGGGTTTGCCAAAGTCTTTCTTCTTCCGGACTTGTACCCGCTGACCATTCCAGCACGTTTGCATTCATTTATATGAGGGATCCCCAGATTGACAATGCTGTCAAGTTAGGCAGATTATATCCACGCAATGTCACAACCTGATCTTGGCCCAGCCCTAGAGAAGGGGATTTGGGCCGCGGTGGTTATTGCTGCGGTGATCGTTATTTTACGAGTCTTCGGCAAAATCAAGATCAATCGGTTTCGCGTCGATGATGGCCTGATGATTTTCGCTGAGGTAGATCCCCCTGACTAGTTTGTGAATCATCTTCATAGACTGACTTGTATTCTCTAGATTCTGGCAATCGTGTCATCAGCATTCTTGACCTTGTCGGTTCACCATGGGTTCGGCAAGAATCTTAACACTATACCACCAAACGACAAGGAACAGGTTTTGAAGAACATCGCGATCCAAGTGCCAATCGTCACCATCAGCACCACCATCGCTCGCTCCGCATTCATTCTCTACATCCTCCCGCTCCTCGGAACCAACAAGTACTACCAGGCTACCTTATGGGCTGTTTTGGCGATACAATTCGCCGGGAACGTTGCATCGGCCGTGTTGCCACTTAGCATCTGTCGCAATGTGGCCGCTTTATGGGATCCAGCAGTTGCAGTTACGACGACCTGCGGGAACTTGCAAGCGGTCATCAGATTCGCCTATTATTCCAATACATTCAACTCAGCAACCGATCTGTTTTTGGCCGTCTTCCCAACAGTGGTATTCTGGAACTTGAATTTGAAACTAAGCATCAAGATCAGTTTGATCGGTCTTCTGAGTTTGGGTATCGTGTAAGTACATCTACTCCAAATCGCATAGAGACAATATACTAACCCAGTGCTACAGTGCAATGGTCGCATCCATCATTAAAACAACCAAACTGGACTCCGTACCCAGTATCACGAATACCGGAGACGGCGGCGGCATCGAACTAATCCGCTGGGGATACATCGAAAATGTCATTATCATCATCACCTCTTCGATCCCTTGTATCCGCCCCTTGATTATATCCTCTGTGCGCAAGATGTCCAGCGGCAAATACTCCCGTTCCTACGAACTCAGCATGCCCTTCGGCCGCAAATCGGGCGCTGCCCCAAACGAGACGAACCACTCACGCCGCACGCGCAAGTTCAAGTCTGATATCGAGAATAATAGTGTCGACCGCATTCTGGATCATAATCCGAGCGTGCATACTAGTACCTCTGTAGGAGGGGCGCCGGATTCTCCTACTTTCTCTGCCCCTGGTATCACGAAGCAGGTGGAGATTTCGGTCATCTCGGATCCTAGGCACCCTCCAAAAGAGCCTATGGGGGATCTCTCATTGGGGAGCTAGGACGGAGCCAATTTATAATTGGATTGGATTGTTCTAGAACAAGCCTTTTTAAATTAGCGCACGCCGTCACGAACCTGTATAGTTAGTATACTCCGTACTCGCTAAGCCTACCGAGTAGTATGTAATTAATTAAACTCTCTCTTCTTCTTGCCGGACATAGCCGCGCGTGCGAAATGTAACTGTTCTCCTATAATATAGCATCCTGGTAAGAACAATATCGTATGTCAATGATGAAGGTTCTCTAAGCTAAGGACAACCAATATGCACCGTATCATGTTCTTTATAGACTCATTCTGCTGACTTCAACTCGGTTTTTTTTTTGGGATGAAAGTCTCTGCTCTTCACCGTCTTTACCCTACTTGGAGATACAAAAGTACCTCCGGAAAGAGTATTGTTCCGCTTTCATGGGCCTGTTTTCATTCACCGCGAAATATTCACATTGAAAGCAATATCTCCCGAAATTTTTGAGCTTTTTCACCCAGTCAAGAAACAAACCGCCAGCAGCCTTTGCAGTAATTTTTAGCCCCAAATGCCTCCAACCCTTTCAGGGCCTTATTAAAAGCCGACATAAGTTCACTTTGATCCTCGAGGCTAACACACACGTAGAATATGCTGTGGAACTCTGTATTTCGGGGGTTTTTCTCGATTCCAGCAGTTCGCTAGCTAAACATGAAATAACTATTGTAACATTCGCGCCAAAGCTGGAGGCTTTGCAGACCTTGAGAACATTATAGCAGTATTCAGCTGTCAGTGGGTCATGGAAGACAATACTGAAAACATTTACATAATATATCACTTTTAACGCTTACATGTGGGTCACCAGCGGATAGATATTGGCTTTTCCCAAAGGCAAGGCCCAAGGTTTCATAGTGGGTAGCGTGTTAATCTCGTATACTGGTCTCCCATTGTTCCTCGTGCGGGTAATTGCTCATCAAAGTACCGAGGATAATAGACATGCCGCGAATAGGGAACTTAATATAGTTTCCCTCCAGGTAGAAGCAGATTATTAGGTACACACTCCAAGCTTTCAACAAACGCGAACAATTTACATTATGTCAGAGAATCCCTCACACGCATAAGCCTGCTCTCTCTCTCTCTCTTTGGCTGCCATGTTTCTGTGTAGTCCCGAAGGCAAATATTCCATATGCAGGCCTCATTGCGATTCCTTGACTTTAAGAAATATGGTAATGTAATAGACGTATTTTGCTTAGTAGTGCCTTAAGCTTAATGCCTGAAGTCGAAACAGAAATGCAATACACGGGTTTACGGAGATAGCCTAATAAGAGAAGGTAAGCGGGACGACCCGCAAAGTTCAGGCACAGGGTCAGGTCGCCACGATCACTCGAGTTCCTTTGAAAAATTGGAGATATATGTCTCCCTTGAAAGTCCACGATTCCCTTAATACATATCGAGTGGTGCGGCGTCGAAGAGATCTTCCCTCTTTCACGACATAAGTCTGATATCTACAAACTTGAGATCTTGGATGAACAGATGGAGCTTTTTGTGCCGCCAGAAAATGCTGATACTGATGAGGCGGCGCAGTATTGTTTCGGTGCTCAAAAGATTTAGGTCATATTTAGTCTTTTGTGCAGTGTTTTACGGCAGCTGGAAACTTCCTCCCACATATGATCAACATGTCAATATGTTAAAGCCGAGGGGGCCGTAGAGTCGAAAACTTTAGTGGGCTGTGAAATGTTTTACCTGGGCGCAAATGGCTACTGGCTGCTTAGCCAGTATTTTTAGGATTGAGAGAAAAAAAAGAAAGGAAGAAGAAGAAGAAGAAGAAGAAGAAGAAGAAGAAGAGAGAATCCTCATTCAAGACTACGCAGGATGATTTTACAGTGTGAGGGGAACGACAGGGGAGAGAGACGAGGAAACATAAATGATATAGCATTGAAGTACAATTAAAGGGAAATGCAAGGTAGATAGGCTTAATACCATCTGTGGTTTTCTCAATTCTATCCTTTCCTCATGTTTCAAATCATAGAGTGCTATTCATAAAAGAGAACGCTATATATATGATACCCAAAAACCCAACATAAGCATCATTCTTTCCTAGTTTCTCGTCATTCACACAGCAAACAATCACCTCGCCCCTAGAACAAAGGCATGCTCGCCGTATTCTCATAATCCACATTCCCTTCCACGGACTCAATGCGCTCCATACAAGTCCCAAAAACCCGATCCCACAGCCTCGTCTGCTTACCATAATTGTAACTCTTCCGCCAACCTTTCCGATGATGCAAATCGTGGTCCTCAATAACAATCTCCGCACTAAACATCTGCAGCAGCCAGTTCAGCGTCGACGGCACACCCGAATGCATCCGCAGTCCACTATGACCAAAAACCTCCGCAAACGCGACATATTCATGACAAATCCACCACTCGTAGAACCCCATCGGCAAGCCAAACAGTTTCAAACTAAAGTACGTCATTACCGGTACGCCGACCATATCAAAGAATTCCTGTTCATGGTCCGCGTACGCGGCGAGGAGCGGGTTCGGGTGTTTGGTCAAGTGGTGTGTTCGGTGGTATTTCCATAGATAGCTCACGTCATGCATCAGCCGGTGGTACCAGTAGAACCAGAAATCCAGGACGATGCCGTATAGCCCGATTTCGAGAGGGAGCCAGATCCAGGACAGCTGTGAGGGTCTTTGGGTATGGTTGTAGGAGAGGAAGATTGAGAGGATCATTCGGGATCCCGTGGTTTTGTACAGGGAGGCTACTACTTTGGCGACGCCGACGTCAGGGACTCCGTCCCGTGCGTGCTTGTCGCCGTCTAGGAAGCCGTACTTGTGGCCGAGACGCCGGAGGATGTGCACTTGGTAGATTACTGTCGCGTTGAAGGCAAAGAAGTAGAAGTTGAAGGCGGCGATTGGGCCGATAGTGCGGCCGGTGAAGGCCATGTAGGTCTCGTGGAGGATAAGGGGGATGGATGAGTAGAAGAGCACCCAGCGTTGGAGATACCACTGGGGCATGTATGGCACTTTCTCGTCTTTGCTATGCACCGGTATCTCCGTGTTTAGGTCGATGGGGTGGGCGTTGAGCGCATCTAGTAGGTAATGGCTGATGTTCCACTCGCTGCGAGGGGCTGTGCGCCATGTTGATTGCATAGAATCTTTGGATAGCGGTTTGGAATCCATGATGGATGTTTCGGTTGGATTTTGGGGCCATCCATAGCGGCGGCCATTCCGTTTAAATCCTTCTCATCAGATGATTGACCATGAATACCATGTGAGTAGCGATGTGTCAATGTCCCTATACGGATCAGTTTACCCCAACAGAACCTATAAATGAGCAAGAGACGGTAGAGACTTTGCTAATTTGGCGAGGATCACCGTCTGCATGTGAATTCTCCGCAAAAGGGTGGCGTTCAGAGGGTGGTTAAACCTCGCCTAGACATTAAAATGGAGTTTCTGGGGGATCATCATTGAAGCCAAAAGGGGAACCATTGCGATCCGATGTGAAGTTTGATCTCTGCCGAATAAGCGCAAAAGACGTGGGTCAAGATGTTGAATCGACACCGTGCGCTCGGCTTGAGCCTCGGTATTGCAACATTTGATCACGAAGAGTGGAGCGTCAATTAGTTTCAATTGGCTATGTGCCTCTTAAACACTGTTAGCTCCTCTGCTAAAGTTTTCAGACATGAAGTCATAAATTTCTCAGGCGATGTAACGCGGGGGAAATCCCGGGGAGAGTAAAAAATATAAGCTGGCAGATATTATATGTACAAAGTATCTGGCCTTTTAAGCAACCTTCCTAAACTTGATTGCCTTGACTATATGTGAAATGTGGAATCTCTTGTTTTCGCGTGTGGATTCTCACCTCACCATTGGGGCGAGGGCTATTGGCCTGATATATGATAATATCGCCCTGGCCTAATGGAAACCAGGATATGTACGCAAAGGTGAAACTATGATTGAGCTGTATCATTGAAAATTGCATTTTGCAGGATCGTTTTGATCCAAACTATTGACGCAGTCATATAGAAGCAACAGATCTAACTATGAGTCTAAGCGCTCGCTGCGACCGGCGCAGCAGTAACCTCGGGGTTCACAGGAGGCGGGGGAGTAGCAGAGGCATCAGCCCTAAGCGCAGGCTTCTCAAAGCTCTTCATGGGGTAGTATCCCCAGCGGTCAAACATGACGCGATCCTCATCCCAGCCATTGCAATCGGTAGTAAGCATCTTCTCACCGGTAAATACAGCGTTAGCGCCTGCTTGGAAACAGGCAATCTGCTGCTCTTCCGAAAGTGCGATGCGACCGGCAGCCAAGCGCACAATGGTACTGGGCATGACAATACGGGCAGTGGCGACGGTGCGCAGCAAGCGGTCGAAGGGGATCATCTTGCGGTCGCCGAGAGGAGTACCAGGGATGGGGACGAGGGCATTGACGGGGAAGGACTCGGGGTGGGCGGGCAGGCTGGAAACGGTGTGAAGGAGACCAATGCGATCGGCGTCAGTCTCGCCCAGACCGAGGATACCGCCGGAGCAGACGTTGATGCCGGCATCACGCACGTGCGAGAGCGTCTTCAGGCGCTCGTCGTAGGAGCGGGTGGTGATGATGGTAGGGTAGAATTCACGCGAGGTATCGAGGTTGTGGTTGTATGCGGTGAGGCCGGCCTCCTTCAGCTCCTTGGCCTGGTGTTCGTCGATCATGCCTAGGGTCACACAGACCTCCATGTTCATCTCGCGGATTCCGGTGATCATCTGCTTTACGTTCTTGAGACTGGTCTTACGGCCCCGCATGTCGCGCCAAGCTGCGCCCATGCAGAACCGAGTGCTACCATTGGCCTTGGCATTGCGAGCCTTGGTGAGGACCTCGTCGACGGGGCTCATCTTGGTGGCTTTCAGGCCCGTATTGTGCTTGGATGACTGGGCACAGTACGAGCAATCTTCGCTACATCCGCCGGTCTTGATGTTCATGAGGGTGCACATCTGAATAGCCGAGGGATCATGAAAGCGGCGGTGGACAGCGGCCTAGAGAGGGGTCAGTTTAGCTGGAGGTCGACATTGACCCATATGCTAGATATCACTTACTGCCGCGTATGTGAGTTGGCTCAATGGAGTTTCGTAGATCTGCTTGACTTCATCTCGAGTCCAGTTGGTCCGGGGAGCGGTAGCACCCGTAGCATCGGTTAGGGTGAGGGGAATGCTGGACAATGAAGCAGCACTGGGTGAGCCCTGGACAGTGCCGTAGGACCGTACCAACGTTCGGGACAATGAGCGAATGGGAAGCGACATTGTGATGGTGTGAGGGAAGAAGATAGAGGAGGAGAGAGAGTACAAAGTATAACAGGATGACTCGAGAGGGGCAGAGGTCCCCCGGAGTGATTCACCGGGACAATCGTGTGGAGAAGAAATGCAGTCAGCTTATTGGAGTAAGATGTTACAGGGGAGGAAGTTAAAAATGGTCTGAGGATTTAATTTTGATTCTTCATGTGATATTATGATCTTACTGAGGGGATATGGTTGAATACTCCGTTGAGTCCCCAACATGTGGGACATTAGAATTGACTCGACTCTCATTTGTCCATTCAAGAATTTTCAGATTTTCAGTATATTCCACCTTTTTAACGATATAACCATATATATATGAGGATATAGATATATTATTCTATCTAGTTAGAATTATTTCAATACTTGATGATCTTATCAATTCCTCTAGTAATACTCCGTGCTTTGCACGGTAAAATCCCTTCATTTGCAGCGGTTTGCGTCATTGCTGCAGGGCTATCCACATTGTTTCCCACCAATGAGATATCCCTTATAGAACCCAACTAGGCCTCGGTGGGTTCAATGCGGAAATGATATGAGATCAACGGTTCTGAGATCAACAGGTTTAATCTCCTCAACATATTTACAACGTACTATCTTAATAGCAACAAGAATAATCGGCCACGTTTGCAGCCTTGTGATGTTTTTTTAACGTATTCGGCAAGCGAGCGGCCACTGTAAGCGAGTGGCCAC